TTTTCTTCTTGTAAAACTTAAACACATGTTGATGTTTTATTGGGCCACTTCATCATAAGAAGGAAGTTCCTTCTTATACGGCCTAAGGCAAACATTGTTCATTATTTATTGAATAATGTTTGTCTTAGGCCACATCAGTAGGCATCTCATTCTTATGCTGATATGGACCAACAATAACATGACATGTGTCCAAAATAATTAAAGTTGAATTATGCGTATTTTTCATGGGTCATCTAAAAGAAAAAGAGGATTTTTTTTTTTTTTTTTACCAATAGTTGTCTAGCTGTATCAAGCCCCTACTTCTCAAAGAGAGGTCAGGGGTTCAAGTTTTCGTGGAGGCATGTGTGTATGAGTATCAAACTAAGAAAAAAAAAAAAAAAGAGGATTTTTTTTTTTTTTTTTTATTTGTTTGAGATTTTCTTTCAAATGTGTGTGAGTCCCGGTAAAGAGCTCTCTCTCTCACTCTCGGTCACGATTCTTTCTCTCTTCCCACCAAATCACCATTGATAACCACCATCTCTCTAATTCTGAAACCCTAATATTTATCATCTCTTCTGCCAGCCCACCTCCACAGCTTGCTGATCTCCTCCATTCTCAAACCCTAAACTTTAATTGCAAATTTTAAAGTTTAGAGATTATTCGAGACAGACTGGTATAGATATAGATGCCAATCAGCAACGAGAGAATTAATCCTTTTTGTCGACGTCAGTACCTAATTCAATTGAAAAAGCAATTCCAAGAATCAAAGATGCACACCACTAGAGCGTAACAAGAGTACCAAGGCATGGATGGCTACAACAAAATGCTAATTTGCTTTGAAGGCAAGGCCTATTGGAATTTGGAGCCACATTCCTGCCATATCTGTTGTAATCCCGTCTTTAGAATGACACCCGACGATAACTATTCATGTGAATTGACTTCTTTAAAATTTCTATAAAATATGTTTGGGGTTTGATTTACCATTTTTTTTTTTTTTTTTTTTGGACTATTTGTTTAGTTTCTTATGTAATGGATTACAATATGACGGTTTTGCTTTCTATATTAACATTTGGGTGATATAATGTTTTTGTGTATAAATTTCCAATTCATTAATGGGTTATTTATTAGATTAAAGCTACAATTTGGTTGTTGATGAATTTTTGTGCTCAATTTTTTATCTTTCAACTCAAGTATCTCATTTGGGATGCCAATGAATTGGAATGTAATTCATGCCTAAAATTCCCCAGTAGTTTTGTTTTCGTTTTGAGTTGTGGTTGATGCCTCTTGCAGCTAGTTTGCTGAGTTTAGATTGATAGGCGCACTTGGCAAAAGAGATGATGATATTAGGCTTTTAGAATTGGGGAGATGGTGATTATCAATCGCGATTTGGTGGGAAAATAGAAGGAATCGCCATTGAGAGAGAGAGAGAGCTCTACCGGGACTCACACATGCGTGAGCGAAAATCTCAAAAAAAAAAAAAAAAAAAAAAAAATCATCTTTTCTTTTGGATGACCTATGAAAAGATCTGCATGATTCAAGTTTAATTATTTTAATTTTTTTGGACACATGTCACATTATTGTTAGTCCATATCGGCATCAGAAGAAGAGGCCTACTAATGCGGCCTAAGGCAAGCTTTTTTCTGAGTGGGGGAGCAATATTTCTTTTTGTGTGAAGTAGATAAAATGTGGTGAAGAAGAAATGAAACAAAATAAATGTATAAATATTCATATAAATGGATAATTAAAAGGTATTTTGGTCTTTTAATTTCATATACAATCTATGTATAAATTATTGGGCAAAACTATGAAATCACGGTTTCGTAATTGAATCGATTGAATAGACTCGCTGCCCGGGGGTTAATAATACAAAATGATAAATTAAAATTTACTTTATATAAAACTAATATTATTGAATATAAAATAAAGTATAAGAATAAAACCAAATGGGACAGGATATTCTACCACCCTAAGAAAAGTGTCTCCTAATTCCTAAACCGACATAGAAAAGACATTATAAAATTATATGCATATTATTGAAATCAAAATGTATTACAAACATAATATTATGAGATTTAACTGCAAACCATACAATGCATGTACAAAATTCCTTGAAAAGTAACGGTCTTAACAACCATTCTGATAGTCAAGACTATGTCTCTTCACTTGAAATCTTCGTGTCGTTGAACTTGAAAATATTGAAACTATTCAATCCTCCATCGCTGCCAAACAACCTGAAACACCCACTTCTTCCAACACCAAGGAACAAATAGACTATCGTTGTCACAGTAGAATATATGGTTAGTCCCTTATTAGACAAGTAAACTATAGTGTTAAACAATTGCGGGATGCTTTAGGTGTTGAGAAGCAGCTTGTGGTGGCTCCGATCAAAGACTGGGAATACTCTGATCGGTTGAAGCTGTGTAAATTTCGATCTCAGTAAGCAATGTTGGACACAATCGATGTATGGAATACTCCATTGATTGCAACTGAAGAAACTTCGATCTCCAAAACTAGTGCAAGCTGTGATAGAAACATGAACATTATCTATCGAAAGTAAAACTTGGATCCACAGACTTTAGATACTAGATTGTATAATACCTTAAGCGTTATGCATATCTCTGTGTGCGTCGCATGGTGGGATAGAATCCTTTGTAAACACCCATCGTCATTTATAGTGAAAATTTTGAGCATGCTCTGTGGACATAGGCAAAAGATTTTACGGAACTACATATATAGCGTGTTATCTCGTATAATTATTTTCTTTCTTAATTACTTATTTATATGATTGCTTTTCTTCTTAATTGCTTATTTATTCGCATTAATATTTTCCAACATTAATCAAATTCCATTCACATAAATTGAAAAATATTAATCAAATTCCATTCACAAAAATTAACTGAAATTACCCAAATTTAATAGTCTAAATCATTCTCTTATAGTATTTTTGTTAAAATATTCTTTTGTGTAAAATATACATCGTCATGTGTCTAATTTTTTTTTTTATCTCCAAAAGTGTAAATTTTTTTTTTTTTTTTTTTTTTTTTTTTTATCTCCAGAAGTGTAATTTTGTAAAAATTATGTAGGGTCGAGGCATAATATTGTTATGGGCAAATTTCACGAAACCCTCAATATTATCAGGTTTTTTATCAAATACCCCTAACCTCCTTAAAAAACCCCGACACTATAAAAATTGATTACATTGCACATGTCTGATAAAAGAATGAAACTACTCTTCTAATATACCAAATCAATCAAAAAAGTCCTAATAGGTATTTTGCCAATTACTAAAATACCCTTGGTGGCATTTAAGTCACCAAAGTACAAAACGACGGCGTTTTTGCCCCCCTCCTGCTCCTCCTAACACTCCTCCCTTTGTCTGTTGCCCTCGATTTCCTCTTCAATTCCTTCAATGCCACCTCCAACCTCAACCTCTACCTCACCGACGACGCTCGGCTCGAGTCCTCCACCGTCAGACTCACCACCGACTCCAACCAGTTCTCAATTAACCGAGTCTTCCACCGATCTTGAATCCCAATGAAACCCACTTCCAATTCCACCACCACCTCTTCCTTCTCCACCTCCTTCATCTTCTCCATCTTACCAGAGATTAGTTCCAGTCTCGGCTTCGGCCTCGCCTTTGTCCTCTCCAACTCTAACTCACCCCCCGCGCCATCTCCGGCAGTACTTCGGCCTCTTCTCCAACGCCACCGTCCCCACCGTCGCCCCCCTTCTCGTCTTAGAATTCGACATCGGCCGAAACCCGAAATTCAACGACCCATATGACAATCACAATCAGAATTGACCTGAACAACATCGAATCGGAGGTCACAATTAGAGCTGGGTACTATAACTCCACCAATAGTAGTGATCTCATCCCTGTAGATATGCGAAATGGGCAGAACATACATGCCTGGATTGAATTCGATGGATCAAATTTTGAAACCAACATCACAATTGCTTCGACTGAGACGGCTCAGCCTTCCCAGCCGTTACTTACCTACAGAGATCCAATCATAGCAAACTATGTCTCTGCAGATATGTTTGTTGGGTTCTCTGTTTCGAAAACCACTTGGATTGAAGCATAGAGGCTCCTAGCTTGGAATCTCAGCGACACTAGTCTTGCCAGAGACATCAACACTACCAATTTGCCGGTTTTTGAGCTTCAATCATCGTCCTCTTCACTCTATCCTGGACCTATATTATATATACCTATACATATAATATATACACACAAAACGCGGTCGTTTTGTGCTTTGGGGACTTAAATGTTACTAAGGGTATTTTAGTAATTGATAAAATACCTATTCTAGCTTTTTTAATTAATTTGGTATATAAGAAGGGTAGTTTCGTCTTTCTATTACAGACATGGTACAATGTAATCAATTTCATAGTACTGGGACTTTTCTAAAGTAGGTTAGGGGTATTTGATAAAAAAATTAATAATATTGAGAGTTTCGTAAAATTTGCCCTATTGTTATTAAAAAGTAAATTTTTACAGAAAAAAACGTATAAAACAATTATTCTAGTTAAATATAAATAATTTAAAATTTTTGTATAAATCTATCACGAAACATATCGGACGTTAGATTTACAATATATATATATATATATATACACACACACACAACAATTGAAGGTGGTCTTAAATTAATGCGTTCGTGGACGAGGAAGATTCTAAGTGTCGGCGTGAAGAAATATTAGGGTTACTTTTTTGTTTCCTTTAGTTTGTTTGACTTTCACCTTACCTTTTTTTAACCCAATTTTGACACAAATAAAATTCACACTCAAATTCTCTTCATTCACAAAATCATGCATTTTACTTGAATATCATCAGAAGAGAACACAGATATGATACAACGGATAATTAAAATCTTTGTCAACTCATCTATGTTACCATACATCATTTTATTTTGTTCTATATTATATATATATATATATATATATATATATATATACTTTTTTTTGGTACTCCTATATAGTAGTACAATTTAGGGGTCAAAAAGTATTCTACTTAAAAAAGGAGATAAAGAAAGAGCTCAAAAAATATCGGACAGGCTCTGTCCCTCTCTAGGGTTCTTTCATTTTTGGTGCTTCCAACGAGGTCTAAAGAGGTCAAATATAAAACTATAAAGTTTTTTGTTTTTTTTCTGGTCCGTATTTTTTCTGGTCTGTATTTTTTTTTTTAATTAATAAACTATACAAGTATAGAGATCGGCCATTTTCTTGGAGAACAGGACCCAGTGAGTGAGAATTTGGGAGAGCTCTTCAGCTAAATTTTCGAGTCAGGTACGTCTGATTATTCTTTTGGATTCCTCTGTTTATGCACAACTTTCAATCGGTTTATATTATTTCCTTTTATGCATTAATGTAACTTTCAATTTGTTTATATTCTTTCTTTTCTTTTCTTTTTTTCTTTTTTAACTTTTTGGGCTGACTTGGTCTGAGTTCAGATTGCAATGAAACGATTTGATTGAACATTCTTTGAGTTTTGGTTTTTAATTTCTTCGAAAGCACATACTTTCTTTGTGATTTTTGTGGCTCAATTAGAGGAATCAATTATTTTGTTGGCCAGAATAATTCTTTTCAATTATGAGAACAATGTGAATATATTATTGATTCTATTCTGGAATGTATTATAGTGGAAAAGAATAACCATGCTGTTTCTATTAAGATTATAATTACTTCTTCTTCTTTTTTAAATTCAGAATTTCGAGGCTTGACCACTCCAGAAGCTCATCTTCATTGGGGTGGTTAAGTTTCTGCAACTTTGATTGGTACACTGGTTTGAAAATGAGAACAATAGTCCGGTCTATTCGTCAATTTCGATCAGCTTATCGGTGGTATCATGGTGATAGATTCTTTAGTGGATTTGTGAGAAGGCAAAAGGATTTGGTGGATGTCAATCTTGGGTCTCTTCACAAACTGGTCCACAATGCTGACATTTATAGACACACACATCCTTCCTGTATGATCCAGAGAGCTCTGTTCTCAGAGGTTGCTTTTGGAGGTTGTCTTCTTATGACGATTGTATATGCAATTTCCTTTCGTTATTTACAATCTTGAACATAAAGTTTACATCTTTGCTTGTTTCTGGTTTCATTGATTCCATCACAGAAGAAGGCAGAGCGGGGCCTCTGGTTGAGTATGAGCGTAGAATTGCTGCAGGTGAACTTGTGGATGGTGATAGTTGCCAGGTGTGACAAAGAATTAGATCCTGCTTGTTTGTGTTTGACATCTAGAAGGAAAATTAGGTAGTTAGTTATATCGTATATGTGCCTTCAGCCTCTATGATTATTTTGACGATGACATCTTCATATCGCATATTGCTTTCTGAAACTTGAGAAATGATCACAATCTGCTAAATTTCTCCAGCCCTGATGGAAAAAATTTCATCTTACAATGGAATTTTCTTTTTTAGGTTGCAAGTATTTGGAAAATTATTGTTGCACCCATTTGATGTCTGTTACTGATCAGAATTAAATAATTTGGCGGCTTTGTTGGTTCTAATTTAGTGTTCTATTTGATAAGACTCATGGAAGTACTTAAATTGCTTTTTAAAACTTAAAAATTGAACCAAGTTCAGTTTTTGGAAACAAGAAAAAGCACTTGTAAATTACTAAAAGAATGGTGCCTAAACTCTTGGATTCTCAGGGCAATGTCTCTTTTACCTGTTTCTGTATTCTTTTTTCAGAAGAATATTCTGACAGTGATTTTGCAGATAGGCACCTTAAGAGAACTTCAGAGACTGTATGATGGGCTTGTTGAGTCAGCTGACACCTGCCGGTTGGATCGTTATGCTTCTTCAGATAAAGCTGGGAGGTAAACTGTTCATATGGTTTGAAGTTCTCAACATACCAAATCACTTACTGATATGACAGATCATATTCTTCTTGTTTTGAACATCATTTCTAATTTTCTTTATGAACTGGAGTTGTCAAATTATCATATTGTTTGTTTTGCATACCATTTCATCCTTTATTCACGCCTTAGAACATTTTCAGGAGTAGGTGGTTTTGGTCCCGTTTTATGCCACAATCTTCATACTCACCTGTGAAAGGACTTTATCTTTATGGAGGGGTGGGCACAGGAAAAACTATGTTGATGGACTTGTTCTTTGATCAATTGTAAGTCCGACTGTCAGATTTATTATATAATCTGGTTTTCCTTATAAGTTACTTTAATATTGATATGAAACTAGGAATCATATCTGCTGAATGCGAAGTAGTAAATTATAGGCATAACATGGAGAAATATAGCAATTGCCATTACTGGATAATGTCTACTTCTACTTGTTTGCACTTTATTAGGCCCTGCAACTGGAGGAAGAAGAGGATCCATTTTCATGATTTCATGTTGAATGTCCATAGCCGCTTGCAAGTAAGAACCTTATTCATATTTTCTGCAAAGCTAATACTAGGTGTTTTTGGTAAGTAGTTAACAGGATTGTTACAAATCCTCTTTGTGATTAAAATTAGGCTATACTGTGTATGACTGCTTATTCGCACTGTAAGTACTTCCCGGTATTTTAACATTTACATCAGATTATCCAATGGGTTAGTGGTTGGTGGTCAAGGTAGCTAAATCACTCTCTCTCTCTCTCTCTCATCTTTTATTTTATTTTATTTTTTTGTGGTTAGGTAAATACTCACACGCACACCCCCACAAATGCCCACTATGGTGCTCGAACCCCTCACCTCCCCTTTGAGGGAGGAGAGGTTATACTAGCTGGGTTAATAGCCCAGTGGTGTAGCTAAATCATACAGTTAATTACCAGTGGCTCCATCCTGAAGATTACAACAGAACATAGTGCCTTCTTTTTGTGGACTTTTAACAGCTATATGCATTAGTACAAGTTAACTTGATTGTTGTAATGTTTAATTTAACTGCAGAAGCACAAAGGTCTGGCAGATCCCCTTGAAGTTGTTGCAGACGAGATAGCTGATGAATCAATTTTGCTCTGTCTTGATGAATTTATGGTATGTTAGAGACAGTACAATAATTTTGTGTTTCCTGCCATAGATCAAATCTGGTCTAATTGTACTTTTTAGCTAGTTTTTTATGTTACATTTTGTGCACCTTTTAATAGGTGAATGATGTTGCTGATGCATTGATACTAAACCGGTTATTTGGACATTTATTCAGCAACGGGGTGGTAAGTAATTTAACCTCCTTTATATAATGAGTTCTAAATTCTGTATACTTTCCATCCATGGATTTTCTACTGGAAATAACATTTTTATGTCTGCATTTATGGTGGGAGACAAGTATAGATTCTTGTTTCTACTTCAAATCGTGCCCCAGATAAACTTTATGAAGGTGGACTGCAGAGAGATCTTTTTCTACCATTCATTTCCACTTTGAAGGTATGTGAATGGATGTTTCTTGCCGAATGTGGTAATTGGAGGGCTCCAGCTGCCCAAGCTGTTACACATTTAATTGCAATTGAAATAAATATTTCTCTGTCCTCATTCCAAACCAAACCTTTTATGTTTTGTATGCCATTACTTGACCTGGATCTGAATCTGGTGTTTTGTAAGAGCAAATGCCTCAATTTTCCTGTCCTAATAATTTTTGCATTCAGTTGATTACTTAATCTTCTTTTGATGTAGGAAAGATGTGTAGTTCATGAAATTGGTTCTTCAGTAGACTACCGCAAAATGACTTCGGTACAATATCAATTCTTTCCATTTTAAAATGTCAGACTCACATTTTTGCAATTCTAGCTGACAATTCCTTATTTTGATTCTGGTAATAATCTTTCATACTTTCACCTGAATTGAAGGCTCAGCAAGGTTTCTACTTTGTCGGGAAGGAGTTGTCAGGTTTTTTAAAGGAAAAGTTTCAGCAATTAATTGGTAAACATGCAGCAGCTGGTCCGCAAGAAGTGGAAGTCGTTATGGGAAGGACATTGCATGTACATGCTTATAAGTCCCTTCATAATATTCTCTGTTGTTTAACCGAGGCATTATGAAAGCAGTTTACTTAGTCAATAATTTTGCTCTTTCCCTGGTCAGATTCCACTGGGTGCTAATGGATGTGCATATTTTCCTTTCGAGGAACTCTGTGACAAACCTCTTGGAGCTGCAGACTATTTTGGATTATTCAGTAAGTCATTTCTTGTTTGAGTGGGTTTGAAAGGTTATTGCTTATTGAGTTGGGATGAGGTGTTAAATTAGTTGAGTTGATTACTTCATATCAGAAAATGTGCTCTAGAACTTAGATAATTTTGAAGATAATTTTGACCAGAACTGGATCAAGACAGTGCGTGAGACTATAATACTGTTTGGTTATTCATTTTATCATAAACTTCCAGGTTATTTCTTTGTTTCTCTGTTCAAACCCATTTTTGTAATTGATTATTTATGTTTATTTTCCAAGACTGCCATTTGGATCAGGGCAATTGCGGTTGTGGTGGTCAAACCTTTTAACTTGGGGGCAATTGCAGTTCTTAAAAAATATTTGGGTGCATCTATCAATTTTATCTTACTTTCTATTGGACTAATTTAATTCAAATTTTATTACTTTTTCACAGAAAAATTTCATACCCTGGCTTTGGAAGGTGTGCTTTTTGGGCTCGACAACAGGACAGCAGCATATCGGTTTGTCACTCTAGTAGATGTTAGTGCCTTTTCTTCTTAGTTTCTTTATAGACATTAGTTTAAAAACTTAATTTTATACAAAATGAATATAAATTTTGGGCTCCATGGACACCCCCCAAAATTTCCCTGAAGTTTTACCTCTTGGAAGGTCCATATCATAAAGTTACAAGTATTCATTTGCATGAGATATCAAACTCTGTGCTGCTCCTACCAGCGCACTAAATGCTCAAGTGGTTGAGTTCTCTTTGGTACTAGACTGATGCTTTTCATTCCATTGCTATTACAGGTGATGTATGAGAATAAAGCCAGATTATTGTGTACTGCGGAGGGGACTCCTCTAGAACTTTTTGCAAGGATTGTTACAATCTCTGACGCCCAACAAATGGCTCCTAGAACCTCTTCTAGATCAAGGAAAAATGATGTTGTTGACCTTTGTGTGGACAATGAATTAGGATTTGCAAAAGATCGCACCATTAGCAGGTATGGTAATTTGCAAAAACTTTGCTTTCAGATGTAGCAAAGGAATTATGGTTTTTTTTTTTTTTTTTTGTTTTGGTGGGTTAAATAAGGAATTATGTTATCTAGTTGAACTGTTAAGTCATCATGCTGGCAAATTTATACCAAGATGGAAACTCTCTATTTCCCTCCTTTTCTCAATACCTTTCACCATATGCCACCCAATACATTCAACTAGCTGAAACTTTCTCAGGGAATATATCAATTGTATTTGTAAATCAATTGCTTTCATTTTGGGGTTGAGTGTACATGAATATGGTGGGATGTTTACCATGCTTATGGTCCATCCAATAGGCTCAAACATGAGCAGGTATCATCCAATTTGGAATTTGTGTATCATTTACCTTATATTGGACTTACCATCCATTCTTCTATAATGAATCCCTTAGGAAGTATGTTGAAATGGCAGTGTGTGACAGAGAGTATTTGTCCATCCTGATAATTATCTCTGTATAGAATTCTGTCAGTGCTGAGTCTATGAGTAAGTAAAAGGCTAATGCCTGGTGTGGTCTTCATGGATCAAAGTTGCTGAAATAGGGAACTAGCGTCCTCAGCTTTGCATCTTGGGGCTTCACCAAGTGACTGCACCTACTATTGATGATTTTTTTGAAATTGATACTCTTACAACAAAACACATACTCTAACATTTAAAAATGAATGCTTATCTTATTGTGTAACTTCAGAAAGTTTAATTCTGCAGTTGCCCTTGACCCCATTTAGTAGATATTAGAAGTCAACGATGGTAGAGTTGTTTTGAAAATTTCAGTTCTTGTACATCCAGAAGATTGTGTTTCAGGTTGGAAGAAACTAGAGCTGCCCCTAAAGTAAAAGGAGCTTCTCAAGATTGGTTTGCTAAAATGCATGGATATTGACACAGGACACGGACACGGACACGGACACGGACACCGACACAAGAAAATAATAAAAAAAGAACATGTAGACACTGGAGGACATAGCGATAAAATATATAAATTTCTATATAGAAGTTATTTTATACTATAACATATAGAACATATAATATTTGTCATCCGTGTTGCACAGAGAAAGATATAATAAGAACACGACATATATACATGTATACGTGTGTGTGCAGATATGTATATGAAAACATATACACATCATTTGGTGTCCTCCCCCTCCTCTTTTATTTTAATGGTCAAACTTTATTTGAATTTTGTATATACCTTTAATCTACTTTTCCTTACTATTATACTTTTTCTCCATGCTAAAATGAAGTCTTAGCCAATATTCTTTGGAATTGTCCTTGTTTGTTTGTTGGCTTGTGTTAGTGATTTTTGTCGCACATCAAAGCCGGATGGGGAAAGTCATGGGCTTATTTATATAGGCGGGTATGTAGCACTGTTAATGTAGTACTACCCAAAAGCTTAAGTTATTGGGTCAGAGGGCAAGCGTCCGGCCCGTTATAGTGGGATCAGAGCCAAACCCCGTCCTTGATCTGGTGTCATGCCAAGCCTCTGCCTAGGAGGTGTCCGGGTCCCCTCCGGGTAGGCAGGGTTGTCCAAAATCTGGATGGAGAAGGTCACGGACTTATATAGGTGGGTATGCGGCACTACCCAACAGCTTAAGCTTTTGGGTCAGAGGGCAAGTGTCTGCCCGTTATAGCTTGCATTTGAAATGCTTTTGTCTCATTTGGTCCATGATTTATGCAGTTTACTTCATTCTCTGGTTTGTGGTTAGTCTAGATGTGCTTGTTTAAGTTTCTGGTTTGTGGTTTGTGGTTTGTGGTTTGTCTAGATGTGGTTGTTTTAGTTTTTGTAACTGACCAATAGAAAACTACCTACTTATGCAGATTAACAGAGATGAATAGCAGAGAGTACTTGGAGCAGCATGCTGCCATGTTAGCAGAGAAGAAGCCCTTGCAAGAAGTTGGCAATAAGAATGCCCTACAAGCATGATACAGAAGGATACCTTCGATACTGCCTGTAATCAGTAACTGGCGCCACTAATAAGATTTTTGTCACATACCGCTAGATTCTGCGATACTGGCGACAGTTTTGGTGCCAGACCAGATATAGATATAATAACTAAAGCTGATATTTTGTTAGCTAAACCAATTGTATTTTGTTGTTTTGTAAATTCTAAACTTTTTGAAGAAATGTAACGAGTCTTGTGTATCAATTATATTTTGTTATTTATAAATTCTTAACTATTTGAGGAATTGTAACAACAGTTTTTGTGTATGGAGTGTTGTACAAGTTAATATTTTTTTGCAACATGCTTGTTGTAAAAGTTAGTAACAGTTTTGCAAATTTTTTCATTTGATGGATTGAAAACCATGCGAAGGATAAAGCAAATAAATTCTTGTTGCTGAAAAGTAAAGTACTTGTACTAAATTTTTTCCATATTCTTATTGCTGAAAAGTTTCTTATGTTATGTTTGAGAGCACTTGTACTAAATTTCTTCCAATGTTTTGTACTCTTGACCCGACGTCTACTTCCGCTAATTCACTTCCTCATTGTTCTGTGTTCTCTCAGTCGAAGTTTACTTACACTAACTCACTTCCTCATTGTTCTTTATTCTGTGTCGAAGTTTTAGTGCAAGTTACTACTATATTTCCAGTCTGATGAAAAGAACAGTGCCAGCAATTGCCTTAATTTGTATGTACATCACTCACTTTGCTGGTAACCAATAAAATTGTTTGATCACATGGTATTACGAATAGAGGGACAGTGAGGTGGTGAAAGAACATTCAAAACCAAACAAAAAATTAGGAAATAAAAAATAAATGAATGTTTCAAGTCTCACATAAATTGACCATGGGAAATACAGAATTTAAGAAACAATAAAATAAAATAACACATGACAAGCCCCAATTTAATGTTTTAAATCTCACATTAATTGACTATGGAAAATCCAGAGAATAGGAAACAATAAAATAACACATGACAAGCCCCAATTTTGTGCCAATTTTATCGGTCTGAATACCAAGTCACAACCCAAAAACAAAATTGCTATGTTTGGTAGAACCGAATCCACCCCTTTAATTTGGGATAGGGGAAAATTTACTACATATTTTAAACTAAACTTCCTCCAATCTCAAATCCAACGCACCGTTTCCGTGCTCCCAAACATAACATAAGAAATTTTTTGGCAATTTTCATGAGAAAAAGCAAGAAAGATGCACTGCACCAAACAATAACACAAACTTGCACAAGAGAAAAATCTTAGTACAGATCCAGGGTTTCATATATGTAAAGGAAATGCCTAACTCCATTTTCTCTCACAATGGAGCCACACCTAATTTTCAAATATATAGTTCCATCATCTGCATGACTCCATATTTGCACATCATTTCATCATCTGCTTCCAGAATCTATCTACTGCTTCCAATAATGACGAGCATGTAGTGATGACAAACCACCACAACTAGCGTTGGAATGAAATAGAGTAGGAACCAGTTTTTGGATCTTGAACAGTTTTGAAATTGTCGACGCTCATCCCAAAGCGGCCCAAAACAGAGTTCCCCATTTCCTTCAACTTCTCTGCTCAAGAACATAAAATCATGATGAAGTTTATAAGAGAGTATATACAGGTAATCAAAAAAAAATATTATCATGTGAAGTTGCAAGAATATTGTTTTCCTTGATTTGTAATTCTCAACTCTAGCCAGAACAAAAAAATAAATTAAAAATAAGCAGATGACTAGAAGGGGTAAAGTTTGACCCAAGTTCACAGTAGTGTGTATAACATAAATATCAGAGCCAACTTCACTGAACAATCATATAAAGAAATATACCAGTGCTATTTTTAATACACACGAATTTTTTAAGGCAGTGTTATCCAATCATTTTGAACTCCTAGTACCTATTGCATCAATACCTTTTAAACAAGAAATAGCTTTGGTAGGCAAAAAACAAATTCTCAATTAAAATTTGAACAGGATGTGCTGTTATACTTCAACTTTCCTCAAAGTGGAGACTTGGGCAACATCTACCAGTAGATAAAACCAGTGAAAACATAGTGAAATGAAGGGCTCCACAAATTAGAAGTCAATGAATGAGTCTCCTTGAATCAAGCAAAGGAAAAACTATGAGAATGCATTCATGATGTAGTGATCATCAATGACCACGACTTTGGACCAGAAAATAAAATCTTGCAGCAGAAAAAGGTGTAAAAGGTTTGAAGCAGCAAGAACAAAGAAATTCCACCACTTCCTTGGTTGTTGTTTTTTTCCGAGTTGGTACTCACACACACTTGTCTCTTCTGAGACTTGAACCCCTAACCTCCCTTTGGGAAGTAAGAGGTCGATACCACTAGGCCACTACCCGTTGGTACTTCCTTGGTTGTTAATTAAAAAGAAAAGGAAGCATAATGTCTGAGGACCAGTTTCACGCCCAAGAGGACTAGTCACTTTTGGGATTCTCCGCACCTATTTAAGAAGTGTATGACCATCCTGTACAGAACCAATGTTGGGACTTATAAGACATGCCCATGACAGACTCCTTCGCACATACCCTTTTACCATCACAACAAGGACCCACTCCTTCAGGTGGGACCCGTGCAAGGTAGTAACCCAGGGCATTTGATACCACTGTCAAAGGACTGGTTCACCCAAAAGGACTAATTGAGTTTTCCCACACCCACTTAAGAAGTCTAGGCCACCCATACATCAGACGCAGAGCTCATAGATGAGATCTTGAAGTGCATGAAACTTACTACTTCAGGAATTGGGTGCAAATCTTTTCCACCTATTTGAACATGATTTCTTGTAGTAGTAAATCTCCCCTATCAAATGTGTACACTAAAGCCTCATTAAATTGGGTGCCAAAACTTGAATCACAGCAAGTGCAAACCATGCAGCAGAAAGAGAGCATCTAGGTTTGCCCATTTTTGTATGAGGTCGTCTAAACCATAGTTATACCAATAAAGACTTCTATCGCTATTCATTTTGGCGTTCGTTTGCTCAAATCGGCAAAGAGTAATTCAGACTGTGAGAAAGTGATGAAGTAATGAAAAAATAAGTGCGGACAAAATAGAACAGTGAATGTGAAGATTGAAGAATGAAAAACAGGTGAATTCATTTCCAAAAGCACAAACACTACCTACTACATATTCAGTCCCCCACTCCCCAAGACTCAAGTAGATATGAAAGGAGACAGTGAAGCATGAAAACAAATCAAGAGAGGAGGGCATTGGAGTGGCAGAAATCTAGAATGTCTTGGCTTATTGAAAGAGTTAGGGTCCCAAATGCAACAATAAAACATCCAGATAGTGGCTGCAAAAAAAATTCAATTCTTTTTTTTTTTATTCAAAGAGAACTAGAAGAATTTATCAATTAAAGAAAACCATCATCATCGTCAATTTACACCCAGTTTGGTTGGAAAGAACTGGAAGGAAAATAAAAGAAAGGAAATGGAGGGATATGTTTTTTGTGTTTGATATAAAATTTTGGAAGGAAAAGAAAGGAAATGGAAGGATTTGGAGGGATACGTATCATATGTTAAAGCTTGATGAATTGGTTTTGTTATCCTCCCAAATATGGGAGGAAATGGAAGGAAAGTCTAGTATATTTTAATGATAACTTTGTTTATACAAAATTTCTTTTTGTATTCTTAATTGTTATTTTCTATCTCTAACAAATAGTCTATTGTTTTAGGTGGCAGTTTAGGTCCTGTATTAGGCGAGATATATATTTATATATAAAACGCCAAGAGTCTATAGGTATAATATAAATATATATATATGATATTTGTGTGTTAATCAGATTTGAAGTCACAATGTCACAATCTCCTCACCACGAGAAAGGTACAAGTATTCAACTGCCACCGTGTACTGCTCACATAAAAGTATTTAACAGTTTGGTCTATGGCTCTATGCTATGAGATGCTTCACCATAATTTTTTGATTTTTTGCCGCATAATAAGAGTGTACACGTGCAAAGTATAATTAAACCCAAGTAGTTTTTCCCCATCTTTTATTAAAAAAAAAAAATCATTTTATGTTACGTTTGGTGTGCAAGAATGGAATGGAATGGAATGTCCATTCCAACCATTCATCTGTTGGTGTGCAGGAATGGAATGGAATGAAAATCCATTCCATTACTAAACCTATGGAATGGCCATTCCATTCCATAGCAAGATTAAATATTTTTGTAATATTCCCAATAAGTCCTTCATCACATTTCAATAACAAGCAAAAATCTTTCGCATAGACAAAAAATCTTACACATTCCATTTTTCACGTTTCTCAACCTTCTTTATCAGACATGGTAAAAGTTTTTCACCTTCCCTCTCTTCTAAATATACCCAGGGCTGCCATTGACAAAAAGTAGCAGGACCTTCAACCTTAAATATATATATATTTAGCCTTTACATCAGCTTCTTAGGTTAAGTATTCAACTCTTTTTTGAATAAAATTGTACTCAGAAATTCATTTGTGTCTTCAATCATGGCGGATTGGTTTAATTATAAAACTTGAATCTGTCCAAGATTTAAAGCCAATTCTAGAACACTATTGTCACCATGGGGCTGGGAAGTGGCTATGATTTTGTGCTTGTGTCTTTGGGAATTTAGATATTTTCCCTTTTACTGTCATTTTATTTAATTTTAAGGTTTTTCTTTATTTTTTTCAATGGTAGTATTGGGCATCTTACAACATCCCATAATTTATCGTCAAAATATTTATTAGATTGATTTTATTAAAAAGTAATGTAAGCCAATTAAAATGGTATTTTTGAGAAAAATCATTCCATTTCAAATTTAATGATAGTCAACCAAACAATAGAATAGTAATAATCATTTCATTCCATAACAATTCACCTTGTCACTGTGTCACACCAAACAATAGAATGGTAATACTCATTCCATTCTATTCATGCACACCAAACGCAGCCTTATGAAATTTCTATGATTTATTTATACAAGTCAGATCTCACTTTACATGTATGGTAATAAATTTCATTAAAATAGCTTCCTATCCTTTCTTTCCCCAGACATGATTATTATCCTTTCCTTTCTTTTCCTTCATTAATCAAACAAACACGATAAGTGATTAACACTATCCTTTCATTTCCTTTCTTTTCTAACACGATAAGTGATTAACACTATCATTTCCTTTCCTTTCTTTTCTCGTAACTAATGTTATCCTTTCTTTTCTTTTCCACCGTACCAATCATAGCCTTAAAGAAAGTGAATGGAATAAAAGAAACAAAATAGTAGAACAGTAAGTGTATTATTATATGAGCTTACCAATCATCTCTTCCTTCATCTTTTCCCGCTTTTCTGCCGCTAATGGCTCCAAACGACATATGGTTCTCCTAGCTTGGATATGTGATTCATCCAACTCCAAGATTTTCTTCATATCTAAAAGAAATATTAAAAAGAAAAAACAAATGGAAACACAAAATAAGGGTAACTAACTGAATACCAAAATAAAAATAGAACTCTTACATGCTATCACCATGAATGCAAATAGTCATTGAGAGGCAGACAAAGACAAGAGACAGAGAAAGGAAACAGAGAGTTCTAATGAAACAGAATATAATATGGATAGTGAAGGTAAGCAACATAATAGGTATCATCACAGATTTTTTTCATATCCAACTTTACCAGCAATAGCCTCTTCAAAGTGTTCAAGCTTTTCCTGAGCCTCTCCTCTTCTAAGCAGTGCTTTCACATAGCTAGCATTTAGTTCTATCGCTTTTGTGCATTCCTTGATCGCGTCTTCATATTTTCCCTGATATATATTATGCGCATAAAAACAGTTAGAAAAGGATCATAAATAGGAAACCAACACATGCACCCAAATCCCGATAGGACGGAACAAAAACATACATGTGTTGCGTGTGTGCATGCTGTAATTGAAGCAAACTACAATCACAATATCTTCTTGTGAAAATATTATTTAATTGATCCTATTAGAAGTATCCACAAGAAGAACATACCAATTTGAAGAAACATGTACCACGATTTGCATGGCATATTGAACGTATTTCGATAGATGAGGGCATGTCTGGTGTCACTTGTAAAGCAAGCTCATATTTTGACAATGCATCTTCATATTGCCCATCTGCAAATAGTTTATTGCCTTCCAATTTTGCATCATTTGCTTGTGCCAATGCTTTCTGTTTCACAAAGAAACGAGGAAGACTTAAAATCTTTTTTGAAGTCAGAGAGCTACTCTGAATAATGCATAGCATGACTCCAACTGCTTCAGTTAAACACAATAAATTAAACAAGACAAATAGATGGAGATTACAGAAGCGAACAGATTTAAAATAAAATACTCCGTAACACAGTAGAGACATGATTTTATACCTTTTCCTGCTGCTCAAAGCACGTCATGATCCATTGCCGTCTATTTATAAAAGAAGCATTCAACGAGACTTTAAAACCGACATAAGTACCAGATTTAAACAATTATAATAGTCCAAATATTTGAAAAGTGCATGGGTGCAATGAACCACAACAATTACATGCCCATGGAATGACAACAAATTGCAGTCCAACAAGCTAAATGCACCACACTCTCCTTCGGCCCTGTGGCATAGTTAGCTTCTAGCACATGCCTCAGACCTAGGATCTTCTTTGGCAATTGTTCATTATAATTTTGAAACTTGACTCCTGATTTTCACGCTTATTCCTATTAACTAGACGGAATTAACCAAATGGTGCTCTGGATGGTTCATTCAGTTTGGGTAGGCAGCCAATCAAACCATTAATGGTACAAACATGGCATTGAAACTAACCTCATTAAGTAATTGAACCATTAATTAAAATCTAAAACATAGAACGAGGTCTGGGACAACAAAAAAAAACTAATGACTAATTGATCCAAAAAAATAAAACCCTAACAACATTCAATACCAGAAACTCTCGAAAGATCCAAAAGTATACTTTTTCCAGAACCAGATTAAAAATCGCTGCACACAAATTGACTCAAAGAAAGGAGAAATCGCTGACCTGTTTCCGTTCCTCGTCGTTGGATGAATCTTCGAAAGAGTCGTCATTTGGAGGCGGAGATTGATGTTGATGTTCATCCCCGTCGTCGTTGATTTCGCTCTCGCTGGCGGTTTCGAATCCATCGGAGGCGTAACCAGTCGCCACCGTCGCCGTGTCGGCGCTTGAATCTGCTCCCGTTGTTGTTGAAGCTTTTGATGGCTTTGGTTTCTGAGTGGCATCGACTTTATTATTCTCTTCTTCACTCGGCTCTGGTTGGATCAACACCATCTCTGTTTCTCTCTCTAAACCCCTCTTTCTCTCTCCCCAATGGTTTTATTCAAGAGTGGGGGATTGGGGTGAATCGTGTAAAAAACATTTCTTGCGATTCCAGAAACCTCTCTTTTATCTTTCTCGTAACAACGACGTCGTCTGTAGTCAAATGTAAAAACTTTACAAACCTCAGTCAAGATATTCTATTGGTAAGAATTTTCAAAAATACATATAATAAATGTTATTAAATAAATTACATTCACCTTCGGTACAATTAATTAATTAATAAAAAATTATATCACTATAAATTTTTAATCAAAAGAGAAAAATGTATAATTAACTTTTATGAAATTATGTATAATGGGCAAGAATGAGACAATCCCAAACTCATTCATAACCTTGTACGAGCATGACTTGACAAGTTTAAAAAATATAAATTATTTTATTTTTTCACTCTATGGATTGGGATAGGAATGTAACTTCCTTCTTGTTGACGTATCTATATCATATATCATATTCAGGCTCTAAGTTCTTCCGTTTTTCTTAACTAAAAGTATTAGATTACAATATTCATGTTCCACTTTCTTTTATCATTTTCAAATTCAATTTGCAAATCTTTTATTCAAGAAATTATTATTATTTTTAATTAACAAAAAGAATAAAAATAAAAGACATCTTCATTAATTTTTCCTCCAACTATCATGTGTTTCAGTCGACAAGAGGAAAGAAATTTTGGTCTGGAAAAGTCTAAAGTTAAAGCAATGAAAACTCCTTGGAAAGTAAACAAAACACCCATTGAGTTCTATTGTCCTCCTTTTTGTCATTGGGTCAGTACAAAGAATTTGTCACTACATCTACATGATTAACCAGAAGAATCCAAGCTCTAGCCAGAAAAGATAGAAGCAACACCCAACATGACAGTGACAACCCTTTCTTTCTTCTTGAATTACCGCATTCATCCTACTACAGCAGCAAGTCATGGGGTAGAGATACCGGGCAGCATTCGTCGGTTTTACCAACAATCAGTAGTAGGAGTTGCACCAGACTCCTAATTACCGGGAACTCCTGTAAATCGCCAAAGAGGACATATAGTAAAGAGAATCAGAAAATAATAGAGTGAGATGAACAAAACATGTGGTTCAATGCTTTTTATAAAGCCAAGTTTGGGGAACAAGGGAAGAGGAGAAAAAGATGAAAACTCAAGTGAGTTAACATGACATACCTCTGCAATGTCATCAAGAGAACCATCTTTGATGTGATCAGGTAGGCTCTCCATTACAATACTAAATCCCCTGGTAAACATACGGAGTAAATGAAGTTGTCCTAATGGGAATGATCATATATCAGATATAGCTATTGGCATAACAACAAATTGATGAACTCAATAAAAATAGTAGATGATTTTTTTATTAATTCAACAAATCTAAGAATTCATAAGCAAATATCAAAGATGAACAAGAAAACTGGTAGATGGAAAAAAAAAAAAATTGCGCATGAGAACATTTGCACATACTAGAGCAAGATGCATGATGAAACAGAGCGACTCTTGCAGAATTGATATGCTCACTGAAGCAACCTACCTCTCATATCTACATAGAAGGACATAGCATCGAATAATGTGAAATAGGAGCCGAGGAGAGAATTCTTGGCCAGCAGCAAAACGAGTGACCTTCGTGAATAAAGTCGAAAAGGAGAACATTTTAGAAGGATAAACTTATTTCTAGAACATGTAACTGTAATCAGAATAATGAGATTCTGCACATCAACTAATTATACCAGATTATCCCACGCGTTCATCAATCCCTTCAGCAGATGATTATGTGTCGGACTGCAAATGTAAGACATCCCTGAGTCAGTTTGCAGTATGGCTTCAAGAATATGCATTCCAACCTGTCCACAAATTTCTGAGGTAAGCAACTAATGAATCATATTTAAACCTATAATATGATAAATTAAAATTTCCCTCCCGTTAAATTCTTCGCTATATTCAGATTCTGTACAGCAGCATATGGCGGCTAAGGTCTCTAACACGCAGGAAGCAAAAAGAGAAGTCATTTTTCAGAGACAAGGATTCCTTTACATAATAATACTAAGAGGCCATGTTTCCTTGGCACATCTCAAGGGAATAAATTAATCTCATTTCACTATCCCCTGTGACTTTTGTTGTTAAACATGCATCTAATTGAACTCCCAATTAGAATGGCAACAAATCTAGATTCAGTTCCAGTGGTTTTGTTGCTTTTAGTCAGCAATCATCTTTGGACCATCCATCTCCATTTTCCATTATACAGTAGGGGTACCGACAATTAATGGTGCTGGAAGGGGTAAGCCTAACCTATAGCTTTTCTAACACAAAAAAACTCAAAACTCACGTTCTCATACTCAACAGTCCCTTATCTTTAGACCTTCCACTGCGAATTAGATATAATTGTTCTAAATTTCTAATATGGCTTCGAAACTAATCAACAGGTGCCATGCCTCAGAGGTTCAGGTAGGTGCGAAGTTGTGACTTGAATGTTTGAAGACTTGGTCTAATCTCACATATGCACATGAGCAAAACAAACACACGGGAAAGGTTTTTTTTTTTTTTTTTTTGGGTAACATAATGCTGTTTTGTGTGTGCATCAATACTTTCTACTACATTTTTGTGTTATATAAGGAATACGAGGCATATGCCTAGAGGCTCACCACAAGACAAATCCAAAGAAAACACAGTAATGCCTACTGTTGGGTATCAGGCCTTAAAGTGTGAGTGGTGTATCTATTATGTAAAATCCCATACATGTCTGAAGCACAAAAACTCATAAATGTGCAAAGAACAGGTCCACAATCAACAGCCAGAGCTTCTAAACCAATTAAAGAAACTATTTCACGCTAATAAGTTCACATCATATGATATATGTGTTTTATATGACATCTAAAGCAGAATATTTGTGAGTACTAAAGAATGAAATTCATAACTAAAGAAGAAGAAGAAACTATAAATTCGTAACATCCAGTCTCATTCTTTTTAGTTTTTATACTTTAGAACAATGGTTTCTACATAGGAAACAATAGAATTTAATATATGCATTTCAAAATGCTCTGATATTTTGCCTGTTTTGGGTTACTGACATGGTGCCTTAGTTAATTTTTTGTAGAGCTTCACTCACCCCACTGACCCACAAAAATATTATAATAATAATAAATAAATAAATAGAAAAGGATAAAATGGATGCACAGCATTTAAAGAAGATAAAGGAAATAATTTAATATGGCACGGAAACTTGCACCACTTTGGAGAGTTCATTTCCAATCTCTATGCTTATCTGGCAGACTTCCACCATATTGCTTTCAAGAGCCCATTGAATGATCTTGGGTTCTTTGACCTTTAGAATAAATGAAGAAAGAAAAAAACCATATCATTCAACTTCAAGTCACTGAGATAGACAAACATTGTGATGAAAGTGATAAAAAGATGTTTACCTGGCACAGAATGCCGATGACAGATAGGGCAACAGCTCGAACATTCCCAAATGTCTCCAGTGGGATCTCAACCAATATCAGTTGTATCAGGACATTGGGCAAAAAAGCTATACTAAGCATGGAAGAAAACAATTGTCATAGAAACCTCATTATGAAAATCAACATTTACCATATCCTTTTATAAGATTAAAGCTATGAGCAGTGATATGGGATCTTACATTTGACAAAAGTATGTCTTGTTTCTTTGTTAGCTGCAATGCACTGCAACGGGAATAAGAAATCAGATAACAGAACCGATAAAAATCAAAGAAATGGCTGATAAGCAGAAAAAATGACCTCAAGAGTAGTAGTAACTAATTAGTGACGACAACCTGAAAGAGGGTCAGAACATTAAGGAAACGCTTGGATGCTCTTGCAGTTGGACTTTCATCAGCCACCATTCGGGCAAACGCCAGAATTTCCTGTTTCGAAGAACCAAGAATACTCTTCACCCTTTGGATGCTATGAATGTGAAGAAGAGAAACCAAAATTTGGAATCTCACACTTTCTACTCTTCTTCTTTTTTCTTCTTATTTTTCAGTTTCCAAAAAATGTAGAAGTGAACTTAACTCAGCCACACAATTGTATTAGGTTCAGTTAAGCAATTTATTTTCTCAATTTCCTACCTAACTGAATAATAAAATTCAAGCATTGAGTGTTCCTCTGACATTTTCTTACCCAACAACTGAGCTTGCACAAGTAAAGTAAAAGAACTGAAAAAGAGAAAACGACAACATTAACTGTAATTTGGACCTGTAATAAGATGGCCATTGTGCTGCAAGAATTATACAACAAGTAACCAGTCCGGTCGTAATTAATTGGATCTTCTTCTCTTTTCTGTCAACAAGAAAAACCTGAAATTTCTGAGACCAAATTCAGGTTAATTCAATGAAATAATAATTTAAATTTTTTTAAAAAAAAAAAAAGAAAAAAGAAAAAAGAAAGAAAAAGAAAAAGAAACACTACTAGAAGTTTACCAATGCAATAAAGTACCAAATTAAGAAATTCCTAATTAAAGAAGAGCCTAAAGTTTTACAATTGAATTACTTAATAGTATCAAACTGGAGAACAACAAAGTATTCCAATCCCAATTCAGTGAAATTTACACAAACTAGAAGCTGATCAATGCAATAAACACCCAATTCAGCAAACATAAATCACAAAAGAAAACACATTTTTGGAATTAAATTGGTTCTAACAAGAATTCAAACTAAGAAACCAAAACACGCATATCTATATGTATATATGTGTGTGAAATGAGATTGAATGTTTGGAACCTCGAGAAGAAAAGTGCTAAGGCATCGAAGAGCAGATTCTCTTAAAGCTTCGTCTTGAAGCTCGAGGATAACTTCTGGAATCACCATGGGGCTCTTCATCCAGCGCAGTTTGTGCTTCTTGTTTGCACTTTTTCGAGATTTTGATTTCTCAGAATCTGAGAAAATAAAAGAAAATGTTATGCTTATGAATCGATGAAAACTGGGTTCCAGTGATAGAGAGTAGAGAGACCTTGTTCGATCTTGGAGTCGTAGAGGAGGTCGAGGGTTCTTTCTTCCCATGTTTCGTCTTTCAGATTTTGAATTTCTGGAATGGCCATCACCGTTCATTGATCGTTCGAGTTTTGATTGTAGAGAGAGGGAGAGGGAAGGAGACAGAGATGGGTTTCAAGAGGGAAACAGGGGGATGAAAATGAAATGCAGACCACGTGCATGTGCACGTGACTTTTTAGGCAGCCACTAATTGTGTTTGGACTGGGTTTAAGCTAGGCCAAGCACTAGGCATTGTGAAAGTTTGGGCCTTGGGCCTTGGGCCTTGGGCCTTGTAAGATGTGGGTAAGTATTGCATACCCACTTTTATTTTTTCTATATCTATATTTAATAAATATAATTATATTCTAATTAGTTTATATAAAATATTTAATAATTAATTATCCACGAGTCCAGCTACTTATTTATTTTTTATAACCATTTCTGATTTTAATGAATGATAAATCAATAAATATTTATCTTGTCATATACATTCTTTGTAATGTTTCTGAATTTTGTCATTTTCCATTTTCTGAAAATTTATTTTTGGGTATTTGGGTCTTTTCTTGTTTTGAATGCCGTGTGGTCCCGGTGTTGTTTTCCCAATTACCATGCATTTATCTTTATGTGAGTTAATGTGTTAAATGGGTATACATATGTGACATGTGGGTGGAGATTGATATTTTGTGGCATGGTGTAATTTTAGTAATCTTTGGAGGGTACTTTTGGCAATTGAGCATGGGTGGACTTTTGACCCATTTTTAACCACACATTTGAGGAGATGATTGGCCAAGCTTAGACCACCACCTCATTTCCTCTTGCTCCCATTTTCGTCACTCTCACACTCTCCCTCCTCCATTTCACTTTCTCTCTCTAAATCTCAAGCTTCTCTCTAAGGTTTGAGCTACCTAAAGGAAGATCTAGGTAGGGAGCACAAAGGAAAGTTGTTCTACTCTTCAAGATCTTCATTTCTCATCTGGTCTTGCATGTATTTAGGGATTTTTGAGCTTAGGAGTTAAGGGCTTGGGTTACATTCTTAAGGTAGGGATTTTTAAAGTACTATGTTTTATCTCTTGTTTGAGTTTCTTTATTTGATTCCGTGTTTTACTTGTTCTAAATGATAAATCTCAAGTTGAAATGTGTTGAATGTTGAATAGAGAAAGCATGCTTATATGTGTTGTTGATTAAATGTGTAATTTGGTTGCTATGACTTTGAAAGCATGAAAGTATTAATCTCTATGATGCATCACTTCATTCGTGGCATGAGCATGGTTGGGGAATTGTGGTTGAAATGTTGTTTTTCAAAAGGAAAGTGATTTGAGAATGGTTGAAAAATGTGATTGTATGAAAGGAACCGGGTTTCGTGAGCCAAGAGCTAATTCGACCTAAAGGGAGCGCGTACCGGATTCCAACGTGTAAAGTTGGTTGTTAGGCCCAATTAGTTGCCGGATTTGGAACTACAGATGGCTAATCAATCTCACCTCGGTAAGGTCGGTTAGTGGTTTTCAGTGTATGTTAAGTTAGACCGGGAACTTGGGGTCGGGAAAGCATGACATTCATGGCATGATGGTATGTTTGAGTTGATTGTGGTTTATTGGTATTTCCGTGCATGACCCCGAATTCCTTTCTCTATTCTTTATTTGTTGACTCAAGGGAGCCCAAGGCTAATGTTTTAGACATCCCCTACTGAGCCATTGTGCTCACTCCATATTTATCATTTTCAGGATATGGCAAGGACATTGTAGACGATGTACCCCCGCAAGCTTAAAGTGTAGGGATGAACTTTTGACACCTTTTGTAATGGACTAGTATGAACAATGATTTTGTAATGTAATCATAATCTTTTGTATTTGTATAAATGTTTCAAAGATGTATGAATGATGATATTTATAAATTTTATGTAATGTTAAATGGTTGATGATGTTCATGGAACCTTGAATTTCATGTTCAGATGGTTGGGAATTGTATTTGACAGGGCTGGAAATCAGAAATTTCGTTAGAATCATTCTGTGGGCATCATCTAACCGGTTAGGAGGTTTTTTGTAACCGGTTAGATGAAAAGGGGCAGTGCGTTGGTTTGATGGGTTTTTTCCCATCTAACCGGTTAGGAGATCCTTCGTAACCAGTTAGATGTGAAGGGACAGAGAAGGGGGTTGGATAATTTTCCTTAAGTAACCAGTTAGATAAGGTTTCCTAACCGGTTAGATCTTTTTTTACGATTTCTTTTCTTCTGGCCATTCATGTAATCGGTTAGAAGATTATTAGAAGAAATCTCCTAACTGGTTAGATGAATTGAAAAAATATATATATATATTTTAAGATAATTACCCAATGACCCCCAGACCCCAACTAAAGTACAGAATAACCTTAGAAAATGACAGAATTACCCCTGAAAGGTATGAATGTTGTTTTTGACTAGAAAATGACTATTTTGCCCCTGAAGATTTTTATATCACTATTTCAATGCAGTAAAAGTCTATTTTACCCTTTTGGGTTGTTATTTTATGGCCATGCAAAAAGACCATTATACCCCTGTGAACTCTAAGAGTATTAGAATGACATGGTTTGACTATAAGGCCTTCGGACCTCTTTTAATTCATGGAATGACTCAAGTAAATGACGGTTTTACCCTTTGTGGACCTTAAATCATTAAATTAATGTGAAATGACTGTAGTACCCCTGCGTTACCTCGAGTCTGGGTAAGGACTCGGTTAGCGATTCGGACCCTCGGGTTTGGGTCGTTACATTCTTCTTGTATGTTCAACCTTTGGAGATGATGAGATCCCATTGGTCCACTGTATATGAATTGTGCTCCAAAATTTCACACATGCATGGAATATATGAATATTTATAAAGTGATAATATTGTTTTAATTTGTCTTATTAAACATGTGTGCTCTACTATGTTTGGTTTGAGGGATGGATTGAGCATTCTTTTGTTTAATAGGAAGGAATTGCTTTAATTTTTTTTTCAGTCCAAAATTGGGCCAAAGAAAGAAAGGGAAAGAGTGAATAAATTACTTAAATATATAAAATAACAAATTTTAACCTTTAAAAAACTACTTAATTTTTTATAATTTTATATAATGAAGATATATTGATAAAACGATACAAAAACTCGCGCTCCCTTCAAACCAAACAAAAATAGGTGTCATCACATTCATCATTTCTACTATTTATTTCATTCACTCAGACAAAAAGTGAGAAGATTATTTATTTCATTCAACCAGACAAAAAGTGAGAGAAGCTCGTTCCCTCCTTCGATCCATTTCTTCATCACACCGTAACAAAACGTGCCATGCCCCTCCAAACTTGGAAAAATCTCTATTAAATGGGCCAAGCTTATGAAACAGTTTTACCAGGATTGGGTGAAGCAGGCATAGAAAGGGTACAAAAGAAATCCTTGGACCAATTCATATTTATGGGGCATTGTTTATTCGTGTGCTCTTGTTTCATGGACATATCATTTCAATGATTCAATCGACTAGAATAACATAATTAATCTATGACCTGTTTGGAGAAGCATCTTTGCTTCATTAGATTTTACATGCCAACTTTACCCTTCATTTGTGAAACAACAGCAACATATATACCAATACGGTATATGTTTCCATCATTGAATAAGAATTACTACTAATATTAATTACAGAGTAAAAAACACATCTAAGACAAATTCAATCAAAGAAACTGCACTTATGTTTCATATCAATATTGATAATTCCCACCCTCTCAAACCAGAGAATGGGTGATCCAAGCTTCCCAAATCTCAGCTAGACATTGGCATGCTCGAATTGAATGACAATCGAAAAAGAAAAAGAAAAAAGAAAAATACACATATAAAGACGTAGCCAATGCTAATACGCAGTGCCTTCAACCAGCTTGTTTAGTTTCTTGTTTCTTAGTCTGTCAACATGTACCTCGCCCCCTTGGCATTCGTACCTGTATATAACAAGGCATCAAAATTCAGAGGATGGTAATGCGTACACGGCTTAAAAATGGTGGTAGTATAATATATGCATTAGAAACTTTTGTATTGTTTCTTTACCTAGGTGGTAAGGATATCAAAGGGCTCAAGCTTTGTGCAAGTTTTGCAGTCTCTTCTTCAGTATTCACAATCTGGTTGAAGCAGAAGTATCGGCCACAAGTGGACTGTTGCTCAAAAGCTCGGATATGAACATCAGCTAGAAAGTTCACATCAACGAATGCTAGGACTCCGTTCTCATACATCTGAGCCGCCCCTGTTTATAATTATCAATCAGCATGGAAGATTTAAAAAAAAAACTAGTTTTAAATGAAAGTGATCAATGTTATATATATCTTCCATATATATACCTTGAAGATATGACATTGTCACTTGTGGATTTTGTTGGGCAACACCAGGTCCAAGAACGAGTCCAGCATTGATAGATACCATGTTAAGCATCCGGTCCATGGCTAGAGCCCAAGCAGCCTGCTCAGACAGTGTCTTCGCCAAGGCATACCACAACTACAGAATACCAACAAAGATAATCAAGATCAAGAATTATTATGAATTGAAGTAGTGTAATACAAATTCATACGGAATTTATAGCTCAATGAAGTTTGGAAATGATCATCTGTAATCAAATCGAGCTTTGTGGTTTCATGAAGCATTTGGAGTCAAAACTTAGCCCAACCAGTTGCTATTTTTTAACTAGTCATCTTAAGTTTAGTACTATTAAATGATATTATTACAAATTGCTATAGAGTAATTTATTGTGTCTACCTAGTACTTCACCTTCTAAATAATTTTTCACAAACAATGTTCGCATGCGTGCTTATACACACTCAGAAGCCTTTCAACAGGACCAAAGCCACTGTTGTAGCATGTTGTAAATCATTTTTTATAATTAACCTCTTATCCTATTTTTCGATTTATGCATAAAAATGCAGAAATTGAAGGTAGGCGAGGATCGCTCAAGCCCTTAATTTTACAAATTATACAATCACACCATGTGCAAAATCTTTGTTGTATGACGCCAAAAAAACCACTCCAATCACCTCTTTGGAAGCGACATTATTGGTGGTCCAGGTGTTTTCTTGTAGGGAATCTTTCTAGTCATCTTAAATTCAATGAACCAAAATGGTGGAAGTTGTTTTTCCTTTCTCACTGACCCATAAATGTTTAAGTCGGACAACTCTAAAATTGATTGCCATTACGTGAGAGATGAAGATTCGAATAAAGGAAAATTTCTAAAATTGACTAGTCATTAAAGGCAAGATATGATTTCCCCACAAGAAAACAAAAATCTGTGTTAAAATCGAAAATGAAAGAAATAGTATCACTTGATTTAAGTTGATTTTTGGTGTTGTACAATGATTTAGCACAAAGTGTGATTGAATAATTCACAAATTAAAGGGCGTAAACGTGCCACGCCTACCTTCTTTTTTCTGCCCATTTTTTATATACAAATGATTTAATTAGCACAAGCTACAATAATGGTTTTTTAAAATTGACTAGTATATCATTAAAGCCCAAGATAAGATTTCCCCCCCCAAAAAATCATATTAAAATTGAAAAAGAAAGAAACCAACCATCTTTTTTTGGGGAGATTAACTATCAATTGGGAGTGTATTGGTTTGTTGATAATTTAAGAATTTGTTTAAACCTATGTCCTTCAAGCAAATGAAACAATAGAGTAATTATAGGTCTCGAATATAACAAGTGAATTTAGATCTTTTGCAATAAAAAAATAGGAGGTAAATAAATAAATAAAGATTAAATAAAAAGGAAAAGAGATCCAAACCTTCAATTTTTTGCAGAACTCTCTGTTACTCCATGACCTTTCATCTACATCCTTCTCAGAGGAAATATTGTCCTTCCAAATTGCTGTAGTTAAAGAAGAACTGAAAACAATCTTCTTTATACTCTCTGTTTGTGCGCATGCCTCCACCACATTAATTGCTCCTCTTGTCTCAAAATCCACCACTTCATCCTACCCATACCACCAAAATAGACTCTAATCAGTTTCTTTTTTAAAAAAAAAAAAAAAAAAAAAAACACACACACACACCCAAACAAAAACACACACACACACAGTGTTTGACAATATTCAATTTACATCATATTTATCAGAAGTATCCAAACAGCAGAACAAGCCACAACAGCCCTTCAAAGTTTCAAGAATGCTTTGGTAATCCAACACATCCACAGTAAACACCACTAATCTATTCTCTGATCTCTGCATATCCCTTATTTTCTTCACCATCTCATTCTCTACTGCAAACAAAAAAAATCCAGAAAAAAGATGCAAATTTAACGACAATTCATCCCCAAATAAGGAAGAGAGAGAGAGAGAGAGAGATCTTGCCATTCTTTTGAATAGCTGCATGAACTGTATAGCCTCTGGATAACAATCCTTTGAGAATCCAAAAACCCACATAGGTTGAAGCATCAAGAACACAAACTGTAGGTTTCTCCATTCTTTCTCTGGTGAAATTGCTCACCTCTTCTTCTTCTTCTTCTTCTTTTTCTTCTATATGATGGTATATATATATATATATATATATATACTGTATGTATATGTAGAATATTGGGTACGAATTTTACAGGTAGATGGGGGAGGGGATTAAAGATAAAAGAGTTGGTGAACTGTACAAGTTCACGTTCTCATCTACTCACAATCTTGTGTTAGCTTTTTTGATGGATGGACCTTGTGTATGTACATGGTCAATTTTCAATTGGAGAAAATTCATGATGTTATGCTTTTGGCCAGTTTATATTCCTTCCCGATTTGTCGCACGGTGTCAGGAGTGTGTCCTGGTATTTTCGAATTTCAAAAGTCGTTTCATTTTAATAAGGTAGTACTAAATTTGCTGAGTAGATAGCGAACGTGCGAAACAATATCTCCAGGGTACTATATTTGCAGGGTCAATAGTAATTTCACCAACTACTAACAGCGAACTGCCTGACTTGTTCCAATAAAAATTGTTTCTAGTATCTCGTTATTACGTGGCAACCAAAAGAACCATTGGGGCAAAGGGAGTTTTCAATTTTCAATAATATATATATATATATATATATATACACACACACACATAGGTTTTACCCCTACCAACCACTCACAAAAATTACCCAACTAATTATAAATGGTGTAGTGTTTTCAATTTTTTTTTTTTTTCTTTTTTTTTACAACTGCAACCCAAAGAAAACAAACACCACGAAAAGAACAGCAGCAACACAACACCACAACACCTAAGCCTCACAAAAGTCTTTGAAAATGGATGAAAGTAGCGAAACTGGCCACACATTCCAGACCAGATCAGAACTCTTGGACTCTTGTGATTGATTCAACCATGCCAATTCAGCGTGCATAACATTACTCATTTTAATATATAACAAAATACGAAAATGCTAGAAATATCTCTAAATAAGGGTTGTTTACTTTTTATATATAGATGTCAGCTACTTTTGGAGGATTAAATAGTGTTTGGTGATGCAGTATATACAATACTTTTTTTAAATATTTTTTTCTATCAATAAACTCTTTCTATATATTTTTTACCTCTGCTTACAAAAAGTTCCAATTTTAGCTTTTGCCCAAGATTGAAATTCTATCTAATAGGCTAAACGGACACTAGATGCAGTGAGAACAATTTTTTAATTTTAACAGAACTGAAATTATAAAAAAGATTATTTGATTTAATTTTTCAAAATTTATTTTATGAAAACCTAATTATAAAAGGAAAATAGTTTTTGTACGGCTTAGTTATAGTGAATTATTAGATCTACTATTTTAATTACTCAATTATGCAACAAATAAGGAGGTATTTGGTATAAATAGCCAATCAATTCACTGTAAGTGTTCGGTATGAGTATCATCATTATTCATTATAAAAAGACATATTTTTAGAAAATCAAACTCAGTTTTACTTATAACTTTTTAATTTTTTTATATACAATTTTCATTTGTAAAAGAGAGTTAAAATTATGCTCTTAGTCTTCTAAACTATAATCCAAATTTCCAAATATTTTCGTACAAAACGTCCCAGATCGATTATCTCTCTTTTAATTTAAACTGAAAAACAATCTCCAACTCCATCCAATCTCTTTCCCTTTTTCTTCGTAATCAAACTTATGTGATTGAGTATTTATCTCTATATGTATGTTTATATAGAATTTTGAATGAATAAGGACGCTTAGCAGGATCAAATACTCAAATAAGTGAGTTTTCCATAAATATAAAAATATAAAGATATATATATACTACATGTATGTGCATAACAAGCATTTTTACTAGTGATAGATGATAGTAAACATGCCAACTACTTCATGTAAATGTTATAGATAGCAATCACGAGGTATGAAAAGGAATTAGGTACTCTTTTAGGGCAAACAAAAACATGTTTGATTGGCTTGAGGTCACGTGAAAGCATAATTAGTGGGGGTTTAGAAGGAGTTCATTGACTTGTACCTTTTTTGGCAAATTTGAAAAGGGTTTCCAACTTTGGGCAAAAGTTGGAAGTTTGGTACAAAGAGTTAAAAGAGAATTGCGAATGAACAAACACACCCTTTGAATAAAAGGTATCAAAGATTCAAAGTTTACCGGAATACGTCTTCCAAGGAAATTGGTGTTTGGTTACCAAGAACCAAACGGTTGAGGGACTTCTGTGTGACTCCTATTTATTCATTTTATTTCGAGTAGGCAATCAACTATTGCTATTTACAAACATGGGGCGTTTGACACATTCTCTCTCTCTCACACACACACTCACACACACACAAATGAAATCCAAAAAACATAGTCAGAAACTAGAAAGAAGAAAATTATGTAAATGAAACCAAATTAAGAACCACTTACCGAAAAAAATGTGACAATCTTTTAGAGAGAAAATAAACTTGAGTGAATGGCTCCTATTCACTCGGTAGTGACACTGGGGCTCAAGTTTCTTGCAACATATCATATCATCTGCTGCTATTGTCACTTGTCTTGTTGCAGTGACATAATTAGCATAATAATAAAAACCAATAAATATAGGAAGGAAGATAATGAAGGTATTTTACACAAACATCAACTTATCAAGCAATCATGATTTGAAATCATATTTGGAGTTCAATCTACATACAAAAATGGGCTAGAAACAACCTAGCATGACTATAAAAAATCACAATATGGTTAAGATAGACTAACCAACATTAGTGGCAAGCTATCTTTGAGTTGGTCGATAACAACCATGATATGGGCAAGTAAAATCATTCCACTCTGTTTTGTTAACAAAACAGAGCCTAAACAGGGGTACAAAAAAAGAAGGAAATAAAAAAGGCTATCTTTGCACAATGACGCACAGTGCATTTTATTCCCAAAAGATATTAGAAATTAAAGAACCAATCTAAACAACAATTAAAATATATAGTTTAATACATAATACACTCATCACAACGAACGCATGTTTCTACGACTGCTACCAAACTGATTATTGCTGCTGATCAGAAAATATGTGGAACTAAATATGAAGTTACAATATAATATAATTAAAAACTCCATTGCAAAATAATTGAATCGTTTGAATATGATAATGGAACTTTTAATCCTATGTACAATATTTGTATCGAAGAAAAAATCTGGATCCTCTTTCTACACAGTCTGGATATACATTAGAATATTTGGTTTAACTTAACAATGGTTCACATTTTGGAGCTACGGAGCTCAAAGAATGAAAGAAGAATCATGTTGCACATTATGATGACGTTCGCCTCTTTATAAGCTTGATTCCACCGACCATGGAGAACGAACATATGATCATTTGCTTTATGTATAACCAAAGACCAGAGAGAATAGCATTATTTACTGACCATATCCAATGATGAATTAAAATATAGTTACTGAGACTTGAATAAGCTTGATGAAACCTGAAAAAAAATAAACAAAAAAAAAACACATTGTGAGGTGCTGCAAATTGAATATCCGTAAGATATTATAAAAAGGTGTAAACTAAATTTGTCTGAACAACTTGTATAAATATCTTGCAATTATGAGGCAATCTACTAATTGATAGAGAACGTTTGGATTATAATCCAATGGTTCAGTTGCAGCTTTATACACCACCGGTAAAATTGGAACGGTTTTACTTTGCCATATCATGGTTGTTATCAACCAACTTAAAGATAGCATGCCACTAATGTTGGTTAGTCTATCTTAACCATATTGTGCTACACATGTGAAAAAACACTCCACACGTACGAGGGCCCATTCATTGCCAAAATTGACCATTCTAGTAATATTATTATTGAACCAATCCCTAACCGTATATAAAATGGCTTCATATGTTTCAGTGGGATGAAAAACCAAGAGAAGAATGTATCAGCACTATAGATTGTAGAATGACAGCTAGCCTATTTGCAGATAACCAACATTGACGGAAGTCAAGTGTTTTCTATTTTAGAAGCTTAAGGATTTTTCGCATAGCCTTAATTTAGTTATTTGTAGAACAGTTTCCATATCTACCATTCCTTATGAACAGAAACCGCCAACAAAAAGCATAGATAACAAGCCCAATGAACATTAGAAAATAAAAAAGAAATAAGAGAAAGGAATAAATTCTTTTTTAGGAAAAATCAAACCTACCTTCACATGGTGTGGCATGATCTTTATATCGAAAGGTACATGAAGCCATGCCTCAGGTGGATAGAACAAAAAGTTATCTGGCTTGCTGGTATACACGTCAGCATATTGATGGATGTTGTAAGCAAAAGCAGATTCTTGACCAGTGTCAGTGAGGAAGGTAGCTCCAAAAGATCTATTAAACATGTTTCTCATTTTGCTGCGTGACTTCTCCCTCTCCTCATTTAACTCCACCAAAAGAGACTTGTATTCAGTTCTCTCACTATTAGCTAGGGTTGCATGGACTTTGCCAAGTAGTTCTTGTACTATATGAAATTTTGCCTGTATTCATGACAAAAGATACATAAATAAGATAAGAGTTAATCAACTAAAAAATGAAAGAAGCTTATTGTAATACCCCGATAATTTTAAAAGATTTATTAATTAAGATTAATTATTTTATTTTATTTTTTAATGATTTATTTTATTTTATTGAGTGCTAGATTAATTATCTTATTTTAATTAAGTTATATTTCGTAATTATGTATGATGATTGATTGTTTGTGTGGTTGATTATTGATTGAATTATTGGTGTGTTGATTTTATTGGTATTATATGACTTAGTTGTAAATTCTTGTTTGTTTATGTGCTTCATGTAATTAGTTATTTTAATTTCTGTATTTAATTAATTATCTTATTTACTTAAATTAATTGAATTGGGCTTAAGGAAAGTTGGATCAAAAGATGTGGTCTTGGGCTTGTATGAAACCTTATTGGGTTAATTAATGAAGGTCCGTGGTTATTTAATTATTTAAATGATCACTTTTGTATCAATTATATTTATATATATATATATATATATATATATATATAATTATATATAAATATAATTAATTAATAATTGTTATGGAAAGATATATATATAGATATATATTTATTGATATTTATAAGTATATATGATTTAATTAACTAATGAGTTAATTATGGAAGGAATATATATTTATATATATATATGTTTATAGATATAAATTATTTAAAGATTATTATTTTAATTCATAATACTAGTTGGAATAGGATTTGGAATTTAAGGTGTATAAAAATACACATAAGGCTTTAGGGTTAAAGATTTTACACGTTAGAAAAATAAAACAGACAGAGAGAGAGGAAGAAGAAGGTCTGACAAGGAGGAGGTCGGATCTGAAAAAGGAGGACGTCGGAATTGGAAGAGATAATTAAAGCTTAAAGCGTCGGTTTCGTTTCGAAACCTTCAGGCGAGTTTTCTCTAACTTTCCTCTTATAACTCATAAGGATTTCACCTTGAGTATCAAGGCTTTAATTAAATTTATTTGTTTAAAAATTATGGTTAGATCGGAATAATTAAAAAGTATAAACTATTATATTTGATTTTTAGATTATTGGATTTTAATTGATATACATAGGTGTTATGTATATTTTAAAATCAATCTATAGGTGGATTTGTGACCCAAGAGAGTTAATTATGGTTTCTTTATTTTCTAGAATTGTTCTGTAATTTTCTAGATTTTTTCTGATATTTTTAGGAATTTATTAGGATTTATTTTCTTATCATGTGGAGCGGCGGCACAATAAAGAATTGATCCAGTGCGGCGCGGTGTAGGATAATAGGGTGTATACGCCAATTAGGGCCATTAGATTAATTAAACTTATGTGAATTGATATGGTGCATCGCGGCGCATAAAACTTTGGTGCGCATGTGTATCTGGACCATAGAAGTGGTCTGGTCAACTATGGGATTATTTGGTGTATTGCAGACCATGAGAAGATGGTGCACTCGCTGATCTGGACCTTAGATCTATTATAGTTAATAGAAAATAATCTAGTGTGAGCGTGTTCATTTGCGCACTCATTTATGACCATTGGATGCGGCAATCCAGCGCGTGCAAGTGCATAGTAAGCACGTGGGCACGCGTGGGAAACCATGTTGGCCTAATTCGACACTAGAAATTAAAACGGTCATAACTTAGTCATTTTAAATCGAAATTGGGTCATTCTTGAGCTCAAATTCAAGGATTTTTCGTCCTCTTTCCAATGGTACCAATTTCATTATCAGATTCTTATCCTAATAAGAGATATTTACGTTTTAGTGAGACGGTGTCGGAAAACTATTTAAACCGGTATGGAGTATTTAAAGGAAACTATTTCTGACATAGTTAGTTGCACTAATTTGGGTAAATATAATAAATTAATAATTTGTTATGGAAGGAAGTGTATATATATATATATATATATATATAATTATTTATATATGTGTATATATAGTTTAATTTGTCTATGAGTTGTATGGAAGGATGAATATATATATATATATATATATATATATATATATATGTATATATGTATGTATATTATTTTAAATAATCAAGGATTATTAAAGAAGGTGTTAAACACATATATACATTAAATAACATATGTGTAGGTATATATATATATAAATCATTTAAGATGATTAATATTATCATTCTTATTTGGCATATCTTAATAGGCTGGTTGTTAAATTAATGATATGCGTATAATATGCATGTGATGGTTATATATGATTTAGCGTATTGTTAATTTTAAAGTTAGTTCATGGTTAAAGTGTGGGCATGGATGAATTGTCAAATGATTAAATATATTACCTAAATATTTGTATGAATAGAATACATATATGGAAAGCATGGATGAATTGCTAATTAAATGTATGAATAAATATACCTGTGGAGGCATGGTTGAATTGCCAATGTATAAATATACATACACGGAGGCATGGTTGAATTGCCAATGTATAAATAAATATACTTATGGAGGCATGGTTGAATTGCCAATATATAAATAAAAATATTTACAATGGCATGGTTGATTTGTCAAAGCATAATTACGTTGTTATGTGTTAGATGATTAAAATATCATCTATGGTTGTTGTATGTATGGATTGGATTAGGGTTAGATATTCTTAAATGAGAATAGTTTAGTACTTACTGGTTAGTGTATTATTTTCCATTAATAAAATAATATTGGGGAAGACGTGGATGATTTGTCAAAACTTGGATTTTGGATATGTGATTTAAACAATTTAAATCATTATCGGGTTGGGATTAAATAGAGTATTTCTTTTATTATAATTTGTTGTTTAAATGATTAGACAACTGACTAGGATGGGATTAAGGTCAAAGGAGTTTTTATAAAATGAAATGGTAGATTGGTCTAGGTATGAATATTATTTTAATAATTATTTAATAGGTATGGAAATTTAATAAACCTATTAATGGATGTGATTAGTATAGTATATATAATTATATATAGACATGTATATCGTGCTTTATTAAAATTAAAACTTTATTAGGTTTGGTTTTGATCAGAGATGATCTGCTTATTGGTTTTCAGAGGCCTGGTAGAGTGAACTTGCTCGTAGGGTTTAACCCACGATTTATTTTTCAGGTTATTAGAGGTTCCAGTCTCGAGGTTGAGGATCCGCAGTTGGGAGACTGTCATTCGTCTATTCATCTTGTGTACTTTTAAATAGTATTGGATTATTGGATAATATTTTAAGGGGTCCTTGAGTTATGGGATTTCCGAATTGTAATTGTTGGAGAATCATTAAGTAATATTTATTTATTAGTTTTCTTCAGCGGTTTATTTATTCTTTATTATTCATCTTTGTATTATGTGCTTGTTAAATACTTAAATTGTTTTGATATCCCTTGATTTTGTGCGCGGACTTGATCAATCCGTGTTCCAAAATTAGGGGGTATCACAGTTGGTATCAGAGCACTCCAGGTTCAAGTGTCCCTAGGGTGTCTTTCGTTGTGTGACTTCCGCGTTGTGTACTCTTTTACTTAGAGCTTAAGTTTAGGATTCATTGTATTCTATATTCGGTCCGTTAGTGTGTCCTAATGGTAAATCATTGAGTCTTATCAGGAAAATGGTAAGACATCGATTTAGAAGGTATTGGTAAATCGTTGAGTCTTCCCCTAATTTTGAAGTATGGGTTTTATGGATTTATGCACCAATAAAATAATATGGAGGTATTTTAGGGACGGATTAACGGAATAGTTAAGTCCTACCTATTTATTTATGAATTGTATGGTTTAATACACCGGTATGGGACGGTGGTATTTCAGGGACGGATTAACCAAAGAAGTTAAGTCCTACCTATATATTTATAAGAGAACGGATTAACCATAGCGTTAAGTCCTACTTATTCGTGTCAGGTCAACGGAATAGTTGGATAGTATGCCATTGAAATAATATGGTTGGATAGTTTACTTTTATGTGGATATAATGGATTATATATATATATATATATATATATACATACACACACACATATATGGGCCATGATATAAACTTGAGTCTCAGGATCAGTGGTTAGGATGGAGGCGTATATTGCCGATTGAGATGGGTAGCTGGGTTTAAGGATGTGTGGGCTCTGGTAGAAGGAGGACTCGTAACCACCTTTGTGTGCGTTTTACATGAGATACCCACTATCCGGTTGAAACTGCTTTAGTTCAGTGAGAGTCTCTAGTGTGTACTTATATTTATCAATTATATAAATATGGAATTAGCTAATTACGTGATGTGTCTGCTAATAATGAATATGTGTGGATGGGTTAATTTCCACACGGATAAAAGGAATAATGAAATTTGAAATTAAATAATCAAAGTTTTTATTTCATGGATTTGTGAATTCCGAGGACGGAATTCCGTTTGTTAGGGGGGAAGAATGTAATACCCTGATAATTTTAAAAGATTTATTAATTAAGATTAATTATTTTATTTTATTTTTCAATGATTTATTTTATTTTATTGAGTGCTAGATTAATTATCTTATTTTAATTAAGTTATATTTCGTAATTATATATGATGATTGATTGTTTGTGTGGTTGATTATTGATTGAATTATTGGTGTGTTGATTTTATTGGTATTATATGACTTAGTTGTAAATTCTTGTTTGTTTATGTGCTTCATGTAATTAGTTATTTTAATTTCTGTATTTAATTAATTATCTTATTTACTTAAATTAATTGAATTGGGCTTAAGGAAAGTTGGATCAAAAGATGTGGTCTTGGGCTTGTATGAAACCTTATTGGGTTAATTAATGAAGGTCCGTGGTTATTTAATTATTTAAATGATCACTTTTGTATCAATTATATTTATATATATATATATATATATATATATATATATATATAATTATATATAAATATAATTAATTAATAATTGTTATGGAAAGATATATATATAGATATATATTTATTGATATTTATAAGTATATATGATTTAATTAACTAATGAGTTAATTATGGAAGGAATATATATTTATATATATATATGTTTATAGATATAAATTATTTAAAGATTATTATTTTAATTCATAATACTAGTTGGAATAGGATTTGGAATTTAAGGTGTATAAAAATACACATAAGGCTTTAGGGTTAAAGATTTTACACGTTAGAAAAATAAAACAGACAGAGAGAGAGGAAGAAGAAGGTCTGACAAGGAGGAGGTCGGATCTGAAAAGGAAGACGTCGGAATTGGAAGAGATAATTAAAGCTTAAAGCGTCGGTTTCGTTTCGAAACCTTCAGGCGAGTTTTCTCTAACTTTCCTCTTAGAACTCATAAGGATTTCACCTTGAGTATCAAGGCTTTAATTAAATTTATTTGTTTAAAAATTATGGTTAGATCGGAATAATTAAAAAGTATAAACTATTATATTTGATTTTTAGATTATTGGATTTTAATTGATATATATAGGTGTTATGTATATTTTAAAATCAATCTATAGGTGGATTTGTGACCCAAGAGAGTTAATTATGGTTTCTTTATTTTCTAGAATTGTTCTGTAATTTTCTGGATTTTTTCTGATATTTTTAGGAATTTATTAGGATTTATTTTCTTATCATGTGGAGCGGCGGCACAATAAAGAATTGATCCAGTGCGGCGCGGTGTAGGATAATAGGGTGTATACGCCAATTAGGGCCATTAGATTAATTAAACTTATGTGAATTGATATGGTGCATCGCGGCGCATAAAACTTTGGTGCGCATGTGTATCTGGACCATAGAAGTGGTCTGGTCAACTATGGGATTATTTGGTGTATTGCAGACCATGAGAAGATGGTGCACTCGCTGATCTGGACCTTAGATCTATTATAGTTAATAGAAAATAATCTAGTGTGAGCGTGTTCATTTGCGCACTCATTTATGACCATTGGATGCGGCAATCCAGCGCGTGCAAGTGCATAGTAAGCACGTGGGCGCGCGTGGGAAACCATGTTGGCCTAATTCGACACTAGAAATTAAAACGGTCATAACTTAGTCATTTTAAATCGAAATTGGGTCATTCTTGAGCTCAAATTCAAGGATTTTTCGTCCTCTTTCCAATGGTACCAATTTCATTATCAGATTCTTATCCTAATAAGAGATATTTACGTTTTAGTGAGACGGTGTCGGAAAACTATTTAAACCGGTATGGAGTATTTAAAGGAAACTATTTCTGACATAGTTAGTTGCACTAATTTGGGTAAATATAATAAATTAATAATTTGTTATGGAAGGAAGTATATATATATATATATATATATATATAATTATTTATATATGTGTATATATAGTTTAATTTGTCTATGAGTTGTATGGAAGGATGAATATATATATATATATATATATATATGTATATATATGTATGTATATTATTTTAAATAATCAAGGATTATTAAAGAAGGTGTTAAACACATATATACATTAAATAACATATGTGTAGGTATATATATATATAAATCATTTAAGATGATTAATATTATCATTCTTATTTGGCATATCTTAATAGGCTGGTTGTTAAATTAATGATATGCGTATAATATGCATGTGATGGTTATATATGATTTAGCGTATTGTTAATTTTAAAGTTAGTTCATGGTTAAAGTGTGGGCATGGATGAATTGTCAAATGATTAAATATATTACCTAAATATTTGTATGAATAGAATACATATATGGAAAGCATGGATGAATTGCTAATTAAATGTATGAATAAATATACCTGTGGAGGCATGGTTGAATTGCCAATGTATAAATATACATACACGGAGGCATGGTTGAATTGCCAATGTATAAATAAATATACTTATGGAGGCATGGTTGAATTGCCAATATATAAATAAAAATATTTACAATGGCATGGTTGATTTGTCAAAGCATAATTACGTTGTTATGTATTAGATGATTAAAATATCATCTATGGTTGTTGTATGTATGGATTGGATTAGGGTTAGATATTCTTAAATGAGAATAGTTTAGTACTTACTGGTTAGTGTATTATTTTCCATTAATAAAATAATATTGGGGAAGACGTGGATGATTTGTCAAAACTTGGATTTTGGATATGTGATTTAAACAATTTAAATCATTATCGGGTTGGGATTAAATAGAGTATTTCTTTTATTATAATTTGTTGTTTAAATGATTAGACAACTGACTAGGATGGGATTAAGGTCAAAGGAGTTTTTATAAAATGAAATGGTAGATTGGTCTAGGTATGAATATTATTTTAATAATTATTTAATAGGTATGGAAATTTAATAAACCTATTAATGGATGTGATTAGTATAGTATATATAATTATATATAGACATGTATATCGTGCTTTATTAAAGTTAAAACTTTATTAGGTTTGGTTTTGATCAGAGATGATCTGCTTATTGGTTTTCAGAGGCCTGGTAGAGTGAACTTGCTCGTAGGGTTTAACCCACGATTTATTTTTCAGGTTATTAGAGGTTCCAGTCTCGAGGTTGAGGATCCGCAGTTGGGAGACTGTCATTCGTCTATTCATCTTGTGTACTTTTAAATAGTATTGGATTATTGGATAATATTTTAAGGGGTCCTTGAGTTATGGGATTTCCGAATTGTAATTGTTGGAGAATCATTAAGTAATATTTATTTATTAGTTTTCTTCAGCGGTTTATTTATTCTTTATTATTCATCTTTGTATTATGTGCTTGTTAAATACTTAAATTGTTTTGATATCCCTTGATTTTGTGCGCGGACTTGATCAATCCGTGTTCCAAAATTAGGGGGTATCACACTTATCATTAATCAGAACAACAAAAAAATATTCACTCATTACCCAATTAGCTTCCTTAATTGGGAGTGCCGGAAGGGGTGGACTGGTATAGACTATAGACGTAACATTTGACACCATATGCACAATATCACTACCTTAGGCTCTTGGATCCAAGTTCTCACACTTGGCAATTTTAACTTTATTAAATTTATTATCCAGTGTTGGTCTGACCTATTGCAGGGTGCTGGGGGCGAGGTAATTGGAGATAACCTACCTTCGGTACTATTTTGTACAAAGTGACTACTCATAGATTTGAACTTTGCATTAACACACTTGTCAATGAGACAAGCCAAGTAAGGAAAATCAACAAGTCAAACTTTCCCAGTGTTTCTAGTCTCGATAAGTTGAAAAAACAAGATGAAGACAACTACAATTCCATATTTTATGTAATGGATATGCTCTAATGCCTAGAGCACGCATGTGCTCCACACACGATTTTCCAAGTAACGAACTGCCCTCAACAGAAATTGTCACTTTTCAGAACTTTGGAACATGGATTTGACACCATTATATATGAACTAAAATGTGAATTTATATTCAAAGTTAGATTAGAGAAAAACCCCAAAGTACAAAAAGAAAAGACAAAATGGTCAATATACATGCACTTTAAATATGACTTAAAACTCTTCAAATTTGTAGGAGAATACCTGTTCAAAACGATAAATATCATCATTCTGTATCTGTATCTCACTCTGCAAGAATAGATGAATCACCAAAATGAACACATGCAAAGTTTAGTTTTTAATCATAATAGCAAGGAAAATCTTGATATACCACTTAAACATGCTTGTTATTTACTAAATAAATAAATAAAAACCCAAACATGCCCTTAATCTTAATTACTCTGCTGACAGAGTTTACAAAAGATTTAATGTTACACATTTCAGGTTCGTTTGGAGGTTGTCAAAGACTCACAAGACCCACAACTCACATCAGACACCTAGCATCCATCTCTGCGATCAAACACTCACATCTAGGCACTGGTTAATATAAATAGTTCTACAGTTCGAAATAAATCATTAATGAACCCAAAGTAGAGGACATCTTGATCAACCTTACTAGCTAAATCATTTGCTCCAGTCCACAAAGCCTAATTAAGTTCAGATAAATGTAGTGTCTTTTAGTTTTCGATCTAGACAAAGGTGCCGTTTAGGTTCCTCCCTCACCCAAATATTATCAAGCTAGGAGAGGTAAAATTTTCAAGAAACAAGAATTTAATTAAAGAATATATGAGAGAAGGATGAGAGATTTCACTACGAAGAGAAAAACCTAATTGAATAGGGGAAAAGGACAGAGGAACAAAGAGTGCAATAAATCAGCTCCTAACAAACAAAAACAGCCCATCACTCCTCACGGAGAGCGAAAATGACTTCTAAATGATTCAAGCACATCTACCCCTCCCTACCCCAACTATCAACCTCTACACTAATTGACTTCGGATAATGCCTAATGAGAAGTTGAAAAATCTAAGATCTCCCTCAACAACATGGCACAGGAGCAAGTACTAAGGGTTCTCTATTTCACTCAACCTACCACACTATCCAGTCATCTTTGATCAAACAATTATGAAACCCTGTAGTAATTGTGATGCAGGACTTCAAGAACAGCCTCAACTAGCTGAGAATTAAAAAGTATAGTGGCTAAAAATTCAAATAATAAGGCCTAGAGTTAGAAGTTTGATAGTAGAAAGTAGAATTTAAAACCAAGGAGAAAGGATATGGAATAACGACAGCCTATCAAAGTCGCACCAATAAACTAGGCATCATGCCTAAAGAAGGTCTCACACCCTCATATTTGTGAATCACTCTTGAGAAAATTTCATAAGACATTTAATCATTCATTCATTCAATATTCAACCAAGATTACAGCCCATCCCTTTAATAGATTTTTTACTCATGACTTTTAGATTACATGGATGTTAACTCATAACTTTTGATCTTGCATCACAATGGAGATAATCAATAATACTTCCTCCGTCGCACAAAAAGTGTCCATTTTCGGAAACCTAACTTTTTTAAGAGTGTAGTTTTTAATATTTTTTATTATAGTGGTAGGGAATGAATTTTCAAATATACCCTTATATGGTGGGTCCACATGAAGTCTTATTTCAAAATTTAATTGCTTTTATAACTTCCAAGACAAAGAGGGTATACTAGGAATATTAGAAAAATAGTACATTGGATTTTGAATTGGGACAATTATTTTGGGATAACCAAAAATGGAAAGGTGGACACTTTTTGTGAGAAGGGAGGGAGAAATTAAAACTCTTCAAATTCTAAAATCATGACTTAATAACATAAATAAAAGTAAATAAAGACCCAGGTTAATTGCACCATAATGCCCACAAGTTCATAAAGTATAAACAATGCAAACTGACCAAAACCCCCAATAATTTAAGACCCACGTCTTCTAGCATATGCCAAATCAGGGTTTGGGCTTGGGCTTTATAACCCTCATTTTCATGCCTTTTATACACTTTTAAAGGTTCCTGCCATTGATCTCCATAAAATTGCCTATCCAAAGCCTTAGAGGAGACTTTATTTTATGACTTCCGAAGCACTTAATGTTGGGCCCTGCAGTGAGTTATACTTTGCCAAATTAATCTCCATCCTGGTACTCTTTTATGTATGTTTATTTCCATCTAGCTTCCCAGAGTATGCCAAGCAACCTTCTTAAACATCTTTGAAGATGAGAGGCTTTTTTCATGTAGCCAAATGTCTCCACACTTTCTGCTTGTTTTAGCTAACGTTTAAGTTAATTGACTTGCCAACAAAAAAGTATAAATCTTGCTCGGTAAGAGATTTTCTGTATACAAAAGTTGAGTGAGACCTCTCACAAATTAAATTCAAGAATAATCCAAAAAGACAGATCTGAGAATCCATAAGAATTGAAGATAATTCCTGACTTACATCGCTACTATTTCAGGGTATTTCATAACAGAAATGTCAAACTTGTTATAGCATCAATAGCAAGTTCAAATCTGCACTCAGATCAGCTTTAATAACACAATAATTCTACTGGTCAGCACGTACATAACGTAGAACTAGAGGGATAAGACGGCATACTAGCCACAAGTTGGGTCACATTTGGGGCATTATACAATTATCCACTGCATGGAAAGCTGCAGAATGTAACAGTTGGCAAAGGGAAAAGGGACCGCTATTCATGACAAAGCTGTCATCCATGGAGGATTTTCATTTATATGGGTCCTTTAGGATTTCAATGCCAGAGAGTTGACGGAGAATAGAGAATCTTGTACATTAGAATAGGTGATGGTCATACTTAGTGGGAACAACATCTAAGGAATCTAGAGGACTATCCAATGGTTGCTGAAGCAAGAGGACAAATGTGCAGACAGAGATGTCAGATGCTTATTATAAATCAGCACAGAAGGAATGTTACCAGATACTACACTCAGCTCTTATCAGTTATAAATTTAGTGCATGGCTTATTCAGAATGTTCCTGAATCTGGAAGTTCAAGAACTACATCATGCATATCCCTTATGCCGGAGTGTGTCAAAACAACTTGTGCAAAGTTATTGAATGACTTCTTCATAGTGGGGTGATTCAAGACACTCACGCATGCATTTCCTATGCTTGTCCAGAATTTCTTCATTGCAGGGTGGGCATTCAAATAGAAATTTTCATGCAAATTAAGAAAGGGCTTTAAAGAATGTGAGTGACACTTTGTATGATGCTAGCAACTAAATTGAAGACAATATTACCTACTCGGAAGGGGCTACACTAAGGTCCATTACTAGATAGCAGTACCGGTTCATGTTTTTCAACCCTCATCAATCACTTTTTGTTTCTTGAACTCGGATCAAAATATATTTATGATTTGATCCTGGACATTCTTGTGCAAGAATATGCTTAATAGAGCTTTCTGGGTTCAAGACAGCCTATATTCAGACATAAGTATCTAATATGTAGGAAATCTTGCAAACCATCAAAAGTTCCAATATCACACACAAAATTATCAAACAGGTTCTGAAATGTTGCTGGAAGCAATGAAGAAACATGTAAAAAAGAATAGATAGAGGGCATACTTCTAATTCATGGATGATGGCAGCAGTACGCCACCCTGCTTTTGCAGGCCCTCTAAGGTCGCTGAATAGGTGATCCCCAAAGTATATGACCTAAATTATTATTTAAATAAGAAAAGAATAGTTTTTATGGATGAAATATATGTAGTACAAAACAGAGCAAAGGAACAGAAAATTAATTGCAAAGATATAAAATTTTAAAAGTAGTTTTATTCTTTCATTGTTCTAGTTGTTTAACAAGCGTGTAAAAACCAGTTATACTTTATGCAAGATTGAACATTAAGGCATTTTATATGATGTACCTCAGGGCCATTCCACTTCGTAATTTGGAGGAAGGATTTAAGGCACCCATGGTAGTATACTTTATCTGGAAGAAACGCATCCACCTTTGAGAAAGCTAAGGTGTCCTTCTCTACATCGTAACAACTACATGAAGACCCAAAATACATAATGATAAATACCACCAAATAATATATTAGTAAAGCACAATTAGGGATCATTAAGGGTGGTTTTTTTTTTATTTTTTTTTTCATTATCTTGGAAAAGATAGTAGAGTTGAGGTCTGAAGGGGAAAAAGAAATGATATACCATTTGGTTGCAAGAGAATGGGGTGAGAAAAAGCTAGGAATATATAGTTTTTCAGGTAAAGTATTCCCCTTTGTATAAGCAAGCCTATCTTCAATTTTTTTTTTTTTTTCATTTTTTTTTATTGTTTATTTATTTGTTTATGTTTGGAAGTGGGAGGGGCAGGGAATATAAAAACATCATGGTTAAGAAACCTCATAGATTAAGAAACTTCATCTATGAATTCATTTTAGAGAATCAGTCACTTTCTAACAGCAAAACGTGGTCTCTCGTATAAAAATTAAAAATAAATAAATAAATGAACACAGAAGATAGAAGAATGACTGCTTATTGATGAATATATATATATATATATATATATATATATATTAAACCCTTACTCATTTTAAAAGATGATAAAGGAACCAAGATTGTACAAATATAAAAGACGAATGTCAATGCAACAGAACAAGATAGAACCATTCTTTATCATCCACAAAAATGTGATGAACAGATAAAGAGTACTAAAATTTGAAGAGAATACCGAAATGGATGCTCAGACGTGTAAAACTCTGGTTTATTGGCTTTAGCAATCACAACATCAAAAAGTTCCCTCCAAGAGTCTCCATGACTCAAAGAATCCTAATTAATAAAAAATTAAGAAACCTTCAGTGTAGAATAGGTATTTGAAGGTATGAAATGATAACATGCACATAATAATATGCAAAAATGATCAGTTTTTAGTTCTCTCAAAAACTGAAGGTTATAGAATTCACCTTTTCATGGTTCTAACAAAAGGCTCAGACTTCTAGGTGAAATTAGAAAAGGGTAACACCTTGCCATTTTAGCCTCTTGTGATTTACGTAGAGACAATGAGTCTCACAGGAAGTCATCAATAATGAAAGAAATAAACTCAACACATAATCATGTCCATAGCATGTTACATTATTAAAATCCCATAATATAGAGAACTGCCATTTACTCCTATTAAAGCAATTCAAGGTGTATGAATCCAGAGAAAGGAGCAGACATATAAGTGGTACATAGTGATTCACCATCAAACATATAGAGAAAAATTATCCAACCTGAAACATCTTGGATGCAATTATTTTCAATTCAATCTTCCAAGTGTGACGCATATGATTCCACAAAGCAGAAAGCATGCCAGTATGTGCATACAGAGGCATGCAGACATAGACAGATACACAACATAATTAAATTTGCTATACATGAATCCAGTTTCCTTTTCACTTTGTTTAGATACACATTTTCTTGTGGAGTAATGTCGGTATGATTCGAAGTTTATGCTAATAACTCATACTTTGATTACTTCTTCATGTAGTTCAACCAGTAAATAACATTCCGAAATTCAATTCAGTTTCTATATGTGGTCTGGATCTGATATAATAAGGACATGAAAAGGCAATATCATAATAGCAGAATTTTGTGAATATATATTTATATATATAACAGAACATATTAAATCATCACTATCCTGACTCGTTAAAATGTCATGATGGTTAAAAGGACCAAAGTATGTGAATAAGAAATCTCCATCAACTTCACCATATGTAGAAGGATGCAAATGCAAAAGAACAGAGCATGCTTCTATTATTAAGATGCCAAAAAAGGTGAAGATGGGAATCCCATGATATGACTATCACCTCCAACATAAAACGCATCCCTCCATCAACAAAATAAAAGGGGGAATTGGTCAGCAAGAATAGTTTCTTCCCCTTCTCCTTGAGCATCTTGAGAAAGCGTAGCAGCTGACCCTGGAGAAAAAAAAATTCAAATCGATATAATTAACCACCTGAGATAAGCTTTTGCCTTATATTATACCCAGCAACTAGCATGAGAAAGTTAAAAACAAGAGAGAGCCAAAAACAAAACCAGATTATATAAATAGAAAAAAGAACTTCCACGTCGCGCACATTTTTAACTAGGTATCTCTGGGGATCAGAAAGAATTCCTCTATGAACCAAGCCACTTCGATGAACATGCTGAATTGCACGATTTACATCTTCATAGACATAGCAAGCATCAAAGTCCAGCTTAGCATCAACAAAATGTTGTACAATATCAGCAATAAGGCATGCCTACAAAGTATGAAAAATTAGAACATATTCAGCTGTAAGAAGCGAAGCAAAAAATACCCCATGCAGTTAAGAGAACAATTAAGAGAAGGTTCTGCCGACCTGAAAAACAACATTCCAGTGAAAAAGCAACACAGGTGTGAATTAAATTGATGTCACATCCAAAAGCATGCATGGCAAACAAAACATGAATAACAATAAATGGGGCTTTATTAACAGACATCAGAACTATTTTCTTTTATTCTCACTTTTAATCAATAGAAATAGAATGATTGCTGGATTGAGGATAGTGCATGGATTGATTGTAATAAAACCTGTTACTTGTTAAGATAAGCATGCAAACTAACTTATTTTAAAATTAATTAACAAATGGCAGAACCAACAGAGAAATTGAGCATACAACCTAAGGCAAATAGAAATACATTTTATATTATGAATTAAATTAGCCATGTAGCCATGTAATTGCGAAGATAACTTGTATTCAAACTTGATGTTGATATCATTTTAATTAAATTTCCATCAATTGCTTATATTCTACACATACTGGAACATAAATACTCTCCGTGTATAATTTTTCTTATTTGTATGAGTGTTGACTAATATTGATTCATTTTAAGGGACCAGACCAACTGCATATCTAAAGGAAGTTATACGTGTAAAAGAAAAAAAGAAACAGTAAAAAATTGTGTCACGTGAATACTGCAATAAGATTAATATATTAGCAGTGTTGTTGCTTGACAGTTGACACATCCACTAATTTTCACTCTTCAAAATATCTAGTCTGTTTATGTGCCATACGTGAAATGGCAATTTTGATGATGTCATCTTATTTGGATTTCTTAGTCAAAAGTCAAAACAATACTGCAGATTTGAGGGAAGAGGCTCCAAAAAAATATCTAAGATAATGGCGTACGAAAAAACATTTGTAAGTTGGATTCTGGGATCCATACCCAAATATTCAACGCCCATCCTAGAACACAGGGGGTAGACCTCTCCCAAGTCACATCTATAAAAACCCCAATCCAGTGTCCCTGTACTATTACTCAAACACCATATTTTCCACTGAGAGAGGAGCAGAAGATTCCACCTAAGCCAAGCATCACTCATGAATAAGCAACACAAAATCAAATGACTTGGTGTGGGGATGGGAGTGGTAAAACCCAGTGTGTCAAATAACCAAAAATTAGAAGTTTTTTACTCCAATCAAGATAGAAAAGAGAAAATGAATCACAAAAGGCTAAGTAATATTTAGAGAGCAATGTAACAACAATAAAAACCAACCTCGCTAAAGCAGAAGAAATCCATCAAACCAACGAGGGCACGTGCTTGATCACGGCCAATATGTCGTGTACCATACATCTCTACTATTTCCTTCCGGATAAGCTGTATGTTCATTTGGATAAAACAAATAAGTGGTAGTTTCAACTGGAATTTGCATAAATCTCTCCATATAATTGGACACGTCAATCACACTTAACTTGCACATCTTTTCAGGTAGAATGTGAACAAATATGAAAGGTGAGTGTCTGTGTGTACACACGCGCGCACGTATTTATGCCAAAATCTTAGTTAAGGAGACTGAAGTTATGCTATAGAAAAAGCAAAAACTGCCGTGAGATGCTTTTCATTTATTTAGTCAAAGACTAACCAATGTTAATATAAAGAATATAGACGGTAAAATTAAGAAAAATTAGAATATAATGAGGGAGCAGTGAATATTGAGAGCCAAGAGTATGCATGATATTGACCTATTTCCTTATATTTGTTGAAAGCCATAATGTGGGAAATAATAACTTGTTACCATTGAAATAAAGAGGGATGAAAGAAATGAGGATGAACCTTTAGGAATTTTCTACTATTAGACATTTGTCAATTGGATTGAAGTGATAATTTTACAGAAAATATCAAAATTCCCATACGAAACCAATTTGAACCCAAGCCTTTCAGAAGGTACAAGTTCCTTTTGCACAAAGCACGGGTGATTTGTATTGACATGCAATGCCTTGGGTTTTCACTTTCTCTGAGACTAAAAATTATAATAAAACCTTACATACCTTGCGCCTACCAAAGTAGCACCCATCAGGCTCAATTGACCCAAAGAAATCCAACTTCAAAAGGCATCCCTTTAGTTTGTCATAGTACAAGCCTCTAATAGGAAAGGTTTGATCGTATTTAAATTCCAAGCAACTATCTGGATATCTGAGCTGGAAGAACAGAAAATCAAATAAAGCAGAGTGAAACTTCACTTTTGACAATTTAACACACGCCATTGACAACATTAGATAACAGCAATCGATCAATATGCTTGAACAAACCTCATTGACCAAATGCTCTTTTGCAAGGTCGTATATCAAACTCTGAAGGTTAGCCGAGTAGTGCGCTAAAGTGTAGTCATAGTCAAATCCATAAACTTGTATATTGTCCAATCTCAAGTTCTTGTTCACATATATACCTAATTCCAATAAACACAATATAATAAAGACCAAATATTGGCATTTTCATGAAATGTGCACTCAGATTCAAGCACAAGAAACCATCAATACCTTCAGGATTCGTCCTAGCCATTCCCTTCAGTGCATCAGGAATTTTGGAAAAACCCTGCTTGGCGGCATCGAATTCGCGCCGAATTTTGGCTATCTCGTCATCAACATCTAAATTACTCAGTTCCACGGGTTGATCTTCGTCTTCAAGTTTCAATACTCTTTGTTGTGGCGACACACTCGCATTATAGCTGCGAAAATTTCCTCCAAACCCTAAAGTGAAGTAAGTGTCAAAATGTAAAACAATTCTTTGCATTTCCAATCATTGAGGGAGAGAAATAAATAAAGAGAAAGGAATTAAAACAAAATATATCAATAACAAAGAAAAAAAAGGAACCTTCTCGAGTACCAAAATGAGAAAACTTATTCCCCTGCAACAAAAAGTAATAATCGTGAGACCGCCACAGAAATGAATCAGAATATCCAAATTCAAACACATATATACAAGCATACATATATATATAGGGTTGAAGAGAGAGAAAGTTATACAAGAATGGAAGAGCGGAGGGGAAGAAGCCTGCGAAAGGAGGCCATGGAGGAGAGACAGAGAGACTTTCAGCTCAGCATTCGATGTGTTTGAATAGTTTTTGGGATTGTTTCTTGTGGACGACAAATGAAAACTGAGCGACTCTATATATATATATATATAGATATATATCTATATATATATATATATATTGGTCGCCTCCACTGTGGAGTTGGCACTCTTGACAACTTTTCATGATATGTAAACCTTCTCTCTTTTCTTTTTGGGAACGGACCCGTGGGACAATTATTTGGTAATAAAAATAACTCCGTGTGATAATTTCAATTATTCTTCTCTCCTTATAATAGTACTTCATACTAAGTATTTGTACCCAAAAAATAATAATTACTAAAAATCAACAGGAAAAAATAATAATAAAATAAAAAATTCGCGTATATGGAAATTGTTACTTGTTACCAATCCCCTCATATGTTTAAATGCATTTTTCAATAAATAATTAGTCATATTTATTTTCCTCCTATGTCTAGCTTGGTAATTTGCTTCAGTCCACATTATTAATCATATTTCATAAAGTAACGTGTGCCACATTTTTACTTTTAAATAATTTAAAGTTAATTTTTAATTGTCTTATACGGAGTATAAAAGATGCATAACACGTGCTTTGGAATAGTAGCGTCAGTCTTTTAACCTAAAAGGTACAAGTCTAGTATAAAAGATGTTCTTGTCAGCCAATAAATTAGGGTTTAGTCCTCTCCAAAGCACGTGTTATGCATTTTTGTAACACCCACACCCATGTGCTCTGTAGTCTGTACAACTCGTGTATGGCACATGGACATGGGTATCTTACTATTTTAGATAAAAAATGCACAACACGTGTTTTGGAGAAAGACTGACCCTATTAGGCTAATAAATTATCTTATATAAATTAATTAGTTAAAAGTAGCAATGCAATGCCCGTGTTCTCCTCAGGAGGGCTACTTTGGTGGGCATAAATGAATAAAATGTATATGAAAGTGGAATGATAATTCTTATTTTAGTGTTTGATTGAAAATATAAAATGACGTATTAATTTTGGTATTTGATTGGATTATTTTAAAATTTAGAATGAAATATATTTCGTATTTTAAGTGGTCAGAATGATGAAAGGTGGTGATAGTAATGGCGGTGAAAGCCAGTGGCGTGGTGGTGGTAGAAGGCAACATTGATGGGAAGTAATGATAGTGGCGATAGTGGTGAAAAGCAACAACCATGGTGATGATGGGATGGCGGCAGAAGTCGGCAACGGTGGAAGGTAGCAATGATGGTTGAAGTGGTGTAGAAGACAACAACTGCATTGGTGTTAGAAAGTGACGATGTTGGTGATGATGACAATAAAAATGTTAGTAGTGGTAACGAAAGGCGGCGACAATAATGATGGTAACAAGATATATAGTAATGGTCAGTGACGGACCCAGAAAATTTGGTGAGGGGGGGCGAATTTTTAATTTGTGGATACAAAATTATATGATGGGTTTATTTTTGTAATTTTAGTAGGTTTTTTTCATAAATTTTAAAAAAATTTAAGTATAAAATGAAAAAAAAAAAATTAGTGGGGCAAATTATAATTATAGTGGGGCATCTTCATAAATTATCAAAATTTGAAGTATAAAATGCTAAAAAAAAAAGAATCATTGTAATTTTAGGGGGGTATTTTCATAAATTTTAAAAACATTAGGATATAAAATGAAAATATTAAAAATTTAGGGGGGCATCTGCCCCCCTAGTCCCCTGCTGAGTCCGTCCCTGGTAATGGTGGTGACGACGACGACGGTGGTGTTAGTGATTGTGGTGGTAGAACTGGTGTCAGAGAGAGGCTTTGCCATCGTTTGAATTGAATAGAAGTAAGCACTTGAATCCCCAGGCGCTACTGTACATTTTGGGAGGCCTGTGAGGAAATGGCCATTTTTAATATAGCACATTAAATAAGAATCTAATATAAAGAAATTAAAGGATAAAGTGGTCATTTCATTCCATTCTCTGGTAATAGCCAATTAAAGGCTAAAAAAGCTCCCAGGGATCTTTCAGCAACCCTTTACGAAAAAATCGGCAATCGAACACCAGATTCGGAGGGGAGAGAAAAAATTCAAAACATAAAAATACTATAATGAGCAGTGGGTGTAGATTGTTCTGTAAATCTTTAGCTCCCTCTCTCGCTTCTACTCAGTTCAGATTCACATCGTTTCCAGGTCTCACCTCTTCGTCAACTAGGGTTCGAATGGCAACAGAAGCTTCTTCATCTTCTTCTTCGTCTCCATCCTCTAACCCCGCGTCCTCCGCCATCGATTTTCTCTCTCTGTGCCACCGTCTCAAGGTATCAATTACTTCACACATGCCTATTTACGTATATACGTGTATATATACATATATTTCCCATTGCTAATCATTCAAGCTATCAATTGGTTGTTGAAAATTGATTAAAATTGATTTTTATATTGAATTTATATTATGTATAACGATAATTGAATTTTATATAATGTGTGCATATGTTGAATTTGAAATTGATCAGACGACCAAGAGAGCAGGATGGGTGAAAAGAGATGTTCAGAATCCAGAATCTATCGCGGATCACATGTACCGAATGGGATTAATGGCTCTTATTTCTTCTGACATTCCCGGCATCAACCGGGACAAGTTAGGTTTTTTGAACTTATAATCCTCAGAACTATTTTAGTTTTGGGATTATATATTTATTTATTTTGCTTCCCCAGAAAATTTTCATACAATACTGGTGTTTTTTTTTAACTACTTTATGTTTCTCTACTTTCAGGTGTATTAAAATGGCGATTGTCCATGATATCGCAGAAGGTGAGATACGTTCAATTAATTTTTCCTCAGAAAATTTTTACTACTGAATTCAATTCACTCCTTTAGGGGAATTTTTTTTAGCCGCGCGGGGGGGGGGGGGGGGGGGGGGGTGTGTGTGTGTGTAGGGAGTGAAGCAAATGTAAATTAGGATAAAGTGGTGAAATTTTCAATTACATTAACATTTGTGCAAGGTATTGTGGTGAAAAGGAAAAAGCTATCTTTTTTTCTTTTTGACGAGTGAAAAAGCAATCTTCCCAAACAAAAGATATAAAATCTATTGTTTGAACTGGAAAAGGATTAGAGTCAACAACATTTTGGCTTTTTTCCCAACTACTTGGGGTCGGCTTAGAATAAATAAAAAAAAATAAATTTAATTTGGGGTTTTCTGCATATATTGACTGTAAGCATACTGACTGTTGTTTTCTATTTCAACTTTGGGCGCGAAAATTACTTTTATATTTCACCTTATTTGTCAGAGATGGAGCTGGAAAACAAGAAAGAAAACTCCCAAATTTATTGCAGATAGTTTCAATTCCAGGCACAGTCAAATGCCAACTGTATTGATCACCATGATCAAAGTCGCGTGAGTCGAACATTGATTTCTCTAAAGGATAACAGATGTTTTAGCAAGCAATTAAAATACACGTGTTTCCTACCCATCCTTAAGTTGCATCTAAGTAAATTCAAGTACTAGTTGTACACTTGTACAAGGTCAGCTGAGTTGAGATTCTAATATTTCCTCTCAGGTCCCAAATTAATGAAAGACTTAAGATGTAATTTTTTTCCCTCATTTTCTTGTCAACCAAACAGATAAAGGAAAAGTAATTGCATAAGATAATCATTAAATAAGATTGTAGTGTGAAGCTAGAGTTGAGAAATAGAGGTTTCATAAGGTGTTCAAATGACTTGGGGAAATAAAAAGGTGTTCGAATGAGACTTCACAATTTGAACCTTTAAATCATCATCGAACAATATCAATTAACATAAGAACAGAAAGTAACTGCATGAGGTCGGATCTGTACCTGGTTTACAACGGATGATTTGGAGGAAGAAAAATCTCCCAAACATGATACAGATATTCTCATAGTAAATGGGTTAAAATCAGAACTATGTGAAAGTCGTCAAATATTCTATTCGTTCCAGATAATCTCTTAACATATTGAATTTGCTTAATTCGAATATATACTAAGGTCATCTGTTTACAAGCTTTGTTGTAGAATGCCATCTTAACATGTCTTGAGCTCTTCCTGAGTTGGATGATCTACAAGGTCGTGTTACTGGGTTCTTTTAGGATCTTCTTTACGTTGTGTGATCTACTAGGTCATAGTTTTTGCTTAAGTTCTGACTATTATTGTGATTTCATATACTTCTATGTTCTGAATTTGAGTTGTTTCTTGTCTTCTTAATTACTTAAATAGCTATTGTTGGGGACATCACTCCTTCTGATGGGATTCCAAAGTTGGAAAAGAGTCGACGAGAGCGGGAAGCACTAGACCACATGTGCAAACTACTTGGCGGTGGGCCCAGGGGTACTCTCTCTACCCCCCCTCTTCTTCTCTTTTCTGATTGTTGCTAGATAATATCACCCATTCATCAGTTGCTTATTCAAAGTTGCATATTGCAGCCAAGGAGATAGATGAGTTGTGGATGGAGTATGAAGAAAATGCTTCAATGGAAGCTAAGATTGTCAAAGACTTTGACAAGGTACAGTAGATGTGGATATATATCTTTATGAATCATCTACCTTCTATATATATTTTTTAGTAATGCTACCATGAGGTCGACCTCATGGCAGTTGTCATGAATTTTTTGTCTTTTTTCTTGATCATGTACAAATATTGAGGTGCGCATCTAACCTATTGAAAGAGTATTGTATGAGGATTATATTGTCAAAATTTTGTATCGAAATTCATTTACAGTAGATCACGCAAATCAGTCAAACTCTTACATTCTCATTCTTTTGACTTTTTTTTGACCAAATTGAACTGTCAACTTTGACTATCTCATATAATTTGTTTTTATGGTATTTTGATATGATTTTTTCAACAGTGAGATCACTTTAATATTGGTAACCTGTTGATATAAAAAAAAGTTTTAAAGCTCATGACAACTGTCATGGGCCGACCTCATAGTAACATTACTCTTTTTCCCTTTTTTTTTTTTTTCACCTGAGTCACCAATCTATAGGTGATACTTTTTTCCCCATTAAACATGGCTTATTTAATGACATTCTTCTTGAATTTGTTATATTTTTATTGCACTAATAAGCTATATACCAGCATGCAACAGAATGATGGATAGCTCTGCATTATTATATTCTTTCTAGTATACTGTCGTAACTGTCCTATAAATGTGGTATTTTTCTTTCATTTTTAGAAACTATTATTCTGGTGTTGTCTCTGCAATAAATTAGGCTGTGATATTTTTATATCAGAATAAAAAATTATTTGAAACGCTGATGGGGATGCCTTGGTGGTTGTGTTTGAGTCATACTAAAATCTATATGCTGGCGTCCAACAGAATGACTAATAATATTTGGCTAACCTTTGCATCATTGTATAATGGAAAAGCTACTATGAGCGCTCCCTCTGAGCTCATGCCCTTATAGTGTACTTGTTGTTATAAAATTCATATTGCGGTATAATGGAAAAAGCTACTGTAAGTTATGTCGTCATTGTGATGTAGTTATATTGTTTTTTCATAAAAAATAAAAACTCCCCCCACCCCCACCCCACTTGCTAGGCAACAGTTTTGTTGAATTCCAAGGCAAAATTCATTTGCTACTTGGTTGTTCTTTGTTTATATATTATGTTGTGTAACTTGCTACTGGTAATTCTTGTTCCATTCAGGTGGAGATGATACTTCAAGCGTTAGAATATGAAAATGGTAAGGCTTCAAAATTGTCCATTGTTGCTTTTTTACTTTACATGATTGCATATGTATGTTTGAACCTAGCAGAATGTTTGTAATATTATCTACTGTTTTTCTTTTTTTTCTACAATTGCACATCCATGTTGCAATTGTAAATAGATTAGAAAATTTATGAGTTGATGTCATGATGAAGTGAAAGATTTCCTTATTAAGCACTTGGGTCATGGCAAAACCTTTTGGGTTTGAAATTGTTTCAGTGTCCAGCTGGGCTTGTAGGTTTTAATTTATAAGCTCCAGTTTGTATTAATGCAATATTTAACTATACAAGTGCATATTACTTATGGCTAAATTACACTGACATCCCCTCTAGTTAAGCAGAATTATGGAGAACTCCCATATGTATTCAAAAATTATACTGACCTCCCTTTGAGACGTTGTTGGACGGCTTTAACAGAGTTGTAATTTTACTAATTTTTTGTCACATCTAAAATAGTTTTTGTTGTCTTTATACACATTTATTAGGTAAAAATGGAGTTTTAAACATTTATTTTGTTGACATAATCAACTTTTAGTACTGACCATTCTTGACTGTTAACGAAAGGGAAAGTGTGTTACCAAACCATAAATCTCAAGAATAGCAAATGTAAATTTTGAAAACTAGGGAGCTATTTGTAAGTTCGCTTAACTAGAGGTAAGTCAGTGTAATTTACCCATTACTTATTTATAAATTAAATATTCAGGCTCACTTGGCTCAATATTAAAGGTGTTTAAGCTCCGCTTCTGTTTGTCATGTATTGAGCCAATCATGCTCAAGTTCAGCTTGTAATATAGATGAGTAGCTTGGGTTTGGCTTGGGCTTGACTCATAATGTCCCTAGTTCTTACTGGTTTTTGTGTGTACTGTTTTGTGTGAGAGATTAGCAATTAGAGAGGTACAAGGTTTTGTCCCATTGTTACAGTTGCAAAGGGGCCACCTGTTGCAATGCGATTGCTCTAAAGTCTAAACTCAAATTTTAATTCTCAATCAGAAGCCAAGACAAAAAGGTAACTGATACAATGATGTCAACATCTAAATTTAAGTTCATGTTTTCACAAGAATAGTACCATAGTCATATATGTATATATTCTTTTATGGTTCTTATCCTTGTATATGTTGTGCATATAAACCTTATGGGTATAACCATTTAACAAATTGTGAACTTGTCATCATGTTAACGAGCAAAGTTGAGTAAACTTGGGTTTATTTGGACTTTGCTTAAGTACCATGCTACATACATAGTAAGGTCACAATGATTCATGATTCAACAAGATTAAAAGTTTGATAGTCTTGTTTTGTGCACATAATTCATGCCATAGAGATGTCATGATTAGTAAGGTTCAAGAATTTTTTTGTTTTTTTGATAAGTAAGATTTGTATAAAAAGCACTCAAAAGGGGAGCGTATTCCAAAGGAACAACAAAAGGCAAGAACCACTAAGCTTTCAAAGAGGCCACAAAAACGACAATGTCCTCAATGGATCTATAATCTCTACCCAAAACCCAACAAAAAATAGTGGAAGGAATGGAGAATTTAAGAACAGAAATAGGTAGCTCTTTTCCTTCAAAGTATCTCATGTTCCTCTCAAGCCAAATGCACCACCAAACACAAAGAGGCGTAGCCCTCCAAGCCTCCTGAATGTGAGCCCCCACAGGACAGCCCTTCCAAGCCTCAATCAAGCCTCTAGAAGATCCAGGCATGACCCAAAGAAAACCAAACAGACCAAGCATCAAATCCCAACATTCCTTGGCCAAAGGACAATGCAAAAGAAGATGATCAACTGTCTCTTCATCCTGAAGACACATGTAACACCAATTGACCATCACCTGAGTCAAAATCTTTCCTAAAACAGAGGTCCAAGCAAAGAAGGCCACCTTAAGAGGAGCCTTAGACCGCCAAACGGCCTTCCACGGGAAAGGACCTTCAGGCTCTTGAGTGAGACAACTGAAGAAGGACCGAACATCAAAGCTACCCTGAGCAATGGGAGCCCAAATCCAAACATCAGAATCACCGACCGTAACACCCTGACGATACAACACCTCCAGAAGACGGATGGCATCATCAACTTCCCAGTTCTGAAACAGACGCCTGAATCGAACATCCCAAGCCAATCTCCTGTTATCAAGATGATAATAGTTAATCACCCTGGCCTGCCTATCTGAAGCAATCCTGAACAGTCGAGGGAAAGCGAGAGCAAGAGGGAGATCCCGACATTAGACATCCTCCCAAAAACTGATCCGCCTGCCATCCCTGAGACGAAACCGAACATGATTGGAGAAATCAGTCCAGCCCTGTCGAATAAACTTCCAAACCCCCACACCCCTAGGACCACGCACCTCAAGAGAGCACGACCCTCCTCTACTCTCCCCAAATCTGCTACCACGACCCTCCTCCACAGCCAATGGCTCTCCACCCCAAATCTCCACAGCCATTTTCCAAGGAGAGCTTTATTCTCTACTTCAAGAATTTCATGCACCAATTTTATTCTCTACTTCTTGGTTGTTAATATTATTGTATAATCTCATGCACCAATTGTATTCTCTACTTCTTGTTGTTAATATTATTGTTTTGTTGTTTGTACTGAAGACTTTGCCATACCAATGCTTTTCCTGTTATATAAATAAATTTTGTGAACTGAATTCATATATTGCTTAATGCAGAGCAAGGCAAGGATTTGGAAGAGTTTTTCCAGTCAACTGCAGGTACAGGTTTTTTACTCATTTGGAAGACTTTTACCTCTGTTTTCTATATTTAGAGTTTTTATTTATTGCTATAGAGAGAACAAAATAGTTGGATTTGAATCGAAAATGTTCAGGAAAGAGGCCATATGAGGACATGACAAAATAATGCCATTATCTGGATTAGTCGGGTCAGTATAGAGTGTTAGGTGGGTTGAATAGAGACCTCATCTTTGACATACATAGTAACCGCTGTGGCCCAACTGCATAAGCATGCTTGGTACCAAGCAATGGCCACTTCATGTGAGCATGGCTAAATGTTCAAATTGTTTAACATTTGTTTATTATTGTTTGGTTATATGGTATATTATAATATAGTGTTTAACATAAGCTCTTGGTTAAACTTGAATCAGCCATGTAAAACAAGGAACATAATAATAAAGTTAATTGAGAAATTTTATAGTAAATTTGAACGTGTTTGTTAACTTCATCTTCAGTTAGCATGTGTGACATATCTAATAAGCCATGTCATATACTTGCGTTTGACATGGGTGCTGCACACATTTGGAAGTGGTCATAAAAGTATCTATGCATATGCTTTCGTCGAGTCGTGCCTTTACCTTGGGATATATTGATGAATCCATGTAAGATATACGACCAGCAAAAGACCTCGCCTGGAATTTGTAGGAGGATAGAGTAGTGGACCTAGTGGTAAATGTGATGTGACTATTGGTACATATTTGGTTTCTGAAATCAAGTACAGTTTGTATTATATTGAAATTTAAAAATTTTGGAGTTCTATAATGTTGAAATTGGCCAACATTTTGAATTCGCAAGGATTCTGAAAGGACCTTAAGCCAAAAGTTGCATATAAAGGATCGCAGGTGACAGACGTAATGGGAAACAAGACGTTTACTTGATATACTTCGGTTATCTTGAATTATCTAATTAGAGATCCTGTTGTTTTGAAAGAGGGATGATTTCCAGTTTTATTTGTTGGATGTGGCTGGCTCCACATGGGTCCCACGGCATCCAACACATGAGGCTGGACAGTTGCCTGGCACTCCTTATTCTGAAACAATAGTTTTTGTTTATAGTACTTTCCATGGAAATAATAATAATAATACTTGTATTTATCTGCTCTTCTAACAGTAAGCATGTCTGTTATAGCACATCAATCTTCATAATCAGAGCCTGCTGTTTGACTTATTTATGAGGTGTCCGACTGAGGCAAATACATTGTATGGTATCAGTTTGGTTCTGGAATTGGTTTTTAAACACTCGAATGTGCTCATGTGTAAATCACAGTATTTTCTTACACTCAAAACTGTAATTTATATTCAATGTGCTCTTTGTTAATGCCTGATCTCACTGCAGGGAAGTTCCAGACTGACACGGGCAAAGCATGGGCCTCTGAGATAGCATCAAGAAGGAAAAAACATTAGATTCTACCGGGAAATCTTTGTTACAGCTCCCCATAAGTAGCAGCCACCTGTTCTTGTTCCCTAAAGAACTAATTCCGAGCAAGGTATAGGTCGAAACTTCTTGTGCATTGTAACAGTGTCGTTAATTGGAATGCCTTTTGATCCCCATGCCCAAGAGGCGACTCACTGTCTATTAAGCTGGATTTTTACTAGGCATAATAATGCCTATTTAACGGCACAGCTGCTATTGATCAAAAAGCTAATTTGCTCTTACACCCATCAAGTGATTGATTTGATTCGTTGTATGTCCTAGGACACCCTGGACTACAAATTTGATGTGAAAATTATGGCAGAAAATTCTGCCTGTCATGATTTTGATTTTGACTTCACTGCTAATACCAAAACTGTTGGGGCATGTTTGATATCCCATTGAATGAACACTCACATTCAGACTTTATAAATTTAGGGATTCTTTGATAGAGCTGTGGTTTACATTTTTGGCTGTGATTTTATTTCGGTAAAAATGACAAGTTTTGAAAAGTTGTGCTTTCATTTCGGTCAATACCAAAATAGTTTGGTTGTTGAATTTTTTTAAAAAGATTTGGGAAAATATGTTTGTGAATTTTTTTTTTATAACTATTTTATTTACTATTATACTATAATTGAAAAATAATAAAATAACATTTTAATTTTACTATTCGGGTATAATAAAATATTTTTAAATTTTTATTTATTATTTGAGTTTAATTAAAAAATAATAAAGTAATATTTTATTTAGTATTTGAGTATAATTGAACATTAATAACATAATAAATAACATTTTTAATTTTACTATTTGAGTATAATATAATAATTTTTAAAATTTTATTTACTATTGTGGTGTAATTGAAAAATAATATTTTATTACTATTCGAGTATAATTGAAAAATAATAAAATAATAAATAACATTTTTAATTTTACTATTCTCGTATAATAAATTTTTTAAATTTTATTTACTGTTATAGTATAATTGAAAAATAATAAATTAATAAAGTAATATTTTATTTATTATTCTAGTATAATTGAAAATTAATAAAATAACATTTCTTTAATTGTGAAAAATAATAAATAACGGTATTTGAAAATCTAGGCTCTATTTTGGAGATGTGAGAGTTGTGAAGGAAATGATAATTAGTTTTCAAAAGTTTTGGAATGTGAAAAGTCAAAATGTAGTTACCATTTCCTTCAAATTTTGTTGAAATGATACCTGTGACTATGGTAACTATATTTTGACTTTTTATCATTTCTTTCGTTTCACAAAGTTTTGAAATGCGAATGAAGGAAAGAGGAAACGAATAATTTTTACCAAACAAATTTTGTTGCAAACCAAAACTGAAAACGTTACCAAATAAAGTGTCATTGTCTCAAATGAATTAATACTAAAAATGCTCTCCAGTTATCAGAGAAATAATGTTTAAAACTATGTGTTTGATCATTTCATTTAAAACTAAAAAGAGTACTGCTATTTATGTTAGACAAATAAAAATCTATTACTTCACTAAGTTTATGTGACTACTTATGTGTTAAATATAATGGATTCAAAAGTAATTAACTATTAGGAAAGTTGTAATACATTTTTTAGGTTTCATCTTAATATAATATCTTTATTGATGATTAACGTTTCAATCACCTTGTATTTCAAATTGTATGTGTTTTATAGATACATTACATTGCATCTCTCTAAGGCATATAGATATTTAAGATTGAATCTCCTATATATAGTTAGATAGGCATTTGTTCATTGCTATAATGATCTATGTAATTCCATAAACAAAAACAAAGAGAGGAATTTAAAGAAAAATTGCAAAGCATTGAAATTTTGAAAAATATTGCAGTTTTTGTTTTAGATTTTGTACCAATCAAATTCTTATATTTGATTACCATAAAAGTTGCTGTGAAAACGAAACGAAGATGATACAGTTATGAAAATTGAAAAGATAACGAAAGGAGTGTTGAAAAATTTAGAAGAGAGAGAAAAAAAAAAAATGACGTATTGATGGAAACAAATAGGAATAGTAATGATACTTATTTAGGTTGAAATTTTATAATAACACGTCATATTTTTATTTCTGTCAATTTTACGTCGAAATATTAAAGTCGTCAATAATATCATTTATCAATTAAAAATAGCTATTGGAAGCAATATGCCCACCAATGATGGTTACAATTCCCAACTCAAATTCAATGGCGTCCAAATATTCCAAATATGCCTAATTGATTTTACATGTTTAAGCCAATGGTGGCAATGTCAAAGAGACATCTTATGAGATCAAGATTATTTTCATAGAAATGTGACAACGATAGATAGGGATGGATAGAATCATGTTTATACAACGCAAATCCAACATTTTATTGTTCATATAAAACTTAACAACCACGCAAAAAAACACGGAGCCTTTAATTTACGTTTATCAATTCAAAGCAGTGATCCCTTGGTTTTGCTTGGAAAATAACATTTCTTCATTTACCATGACCGCTGCCGGACCCTGACCCGTACCCTCGGCCTTCACCATATCCGGAACCGGAACCATTTCCCGAGCCACTTCCTCTGCCGGATCCCTCCCCATACCCCTCGCCACGGCCTTGGCCCGATCCTCCTCCTTGGTTGCCACCAGACCCAGACCCAGCTCTTGATCCAGCATATGAGCCCGCTTCTGAACCCGCACCAGAACCTGACCCTGAGCCCGAGCCCGAGCCCGAGCCCGAGCCCGAACCAGAGCCGGAGCCAGAGCCAGATCCCGAGCCAGAACCAGAGCCTGAACCACTCCCTCCTAGTCCTAGACCAAGGCCTATCCCAGCACCAATCCCATCACCACCCAGATCAATACCCAGATCCTTCCCAACACCACCCAGATTAATACCCAGATCCTTCCTAGCCACCCGGCTTTCGGACACCATAGCATAGGTTGAAACAAGAAAAGCAACCACAACCAATGACTTCAAACCAGTCATTGTTAAAGCCAAAGTGGTATTAAGAATAGCAAAACAATGTTTATGACACAATGCTCTCTCAGCTACTAGAAAGTGCTTTGATGTGTTGGTGGTAGTGACAATACTCTAGCCAAATAGAGCTATTTATAGTTGGAGATGCCAAGGTTTGGTACGTAAACGTGCCTGAATTATAGAATGAAAGTGGGAACTTTTCTTATGTCATATTGGATAAATGATACCATAGCTTGTGGTCGATAAAGCTGAGTCATGCAGTGGAGATTCTGCTGGAGGCCTCATAACCACCACATTATTAAGATGGTGCCGGCCACAATTCCACTTAACATAGTGCCTCAATTATAGACCCTTATTTTTTTATTTTGTTACGTAATACGCACATATAATCTTACACTGTGTGAACATATAGTAGAAGAGACTCACAGGATCTAAGTTGAAAATGAATTGAGTCATAGTGCTTCGATCGATCATAAAGTATTATGTTTCAGTATCGATTCTTCATTAAATGCAAATAATTTTTTAGGGGCCACGCCCATAGAGATAGTCCGAATTTTATCCGATCCGCATGATGGAAGTCGATATTTTAATTTAAGTTTGAAATTTTAAGATTATTTTTGTTTTAGTAGTCCAAGTTCTTTTCTCTAATTATTGAAGAGATTCAATTAACATTTTAGAACTTGAAAAAGTTGGAACAAATTTTGGTTGAGAGCCATATTCATTAGAGTTTAGACCAAAATAAACAAACCGCGATTAAACATCTGAATGTTAAGAAATTACAATGAATATTTATTGAAACAGTCTACAGCGTTAATTTTCACTTTTAAATGTGCAAAAAAAAAAAAAAAAAAAAAAAAAAAAAAAAAAAAAAAGGGAGGAATTTTGGAAGGTAGATAGAGAAACTGCTTCATAAAGAGATACTGTAGTAGCCAGCATATATAAGAGTTGAGTTACTATCATATATGACCCAAATTTATGTAATTAAGATAAGCCTTTTTATTTTAATTCTTTAATTATTATATTTGGTATATATAATGACTTGAGTGTGCTACACATGCAACAGAGTTCTTTCCCTGCTTACCTGTTATGATTATCAAGAAATTCCAGGCTTTGAATTGCCTTGAAAATATTAATGTTCTTGATTGCTTGGGAGAAGTATATCTATTTACAAGGAATACAAATGTATATATCACCACTGCGTTTTAAAGTGAAAGGTGAGAATTTGTGAATTTGAGTCCCGAGCAAATAAGTGTGTGAGTTTCTTGTTAAGAAAAACTGCATATTTGGAAAGGCATAATTAAACTAGACTATATTGTCAAATGCGCGCGCGCACACACATATATATATATGTGTATGTGCAATTGATCAAGGAACTAAAGATATATGTATAAGGTATTCTTGTATTTATTTCCAATAACTTGAATGATCGAGAAACTCAATGTACTTCGCTGGTGATTTAGCTCAAGCATGGAGACTTGTATTTTTAGATCATCCACATGAACTCCTCAAATATATATATATATATATATATATATATATATATCTGTGTGTGTGGTTTTAACGCGCGGATATCCTCGTTGCCTATACTAATATGAACCTTCTGATATATTTTTTAATCTAATACTCTTAAGCGGGTTCGTCAAAGTTTGCTGGTCAAGGTCCAAAATTTCCAGGTTTAATTTGTGAGAGTTGATAAATCCAAGTCTACTTCATTTTGCCTGCTTCTACCTTTCATGGCTTGAAATTTCATTAAAATTATATGCAACAAAAACCTCATATAGATGAATAATCTTTTGTATGTTTATCTTTATTCCCTGCTCACTTTCCTTTTAATTTCATGTTGTTGCAAATAATTCTCCGATTTTCTGATATTAATTGAGGTTTTCCTTAACATTAATATAATTAAAAACGCCTCAGTTTTGACTCTGTCTATTCTTAACCTAAGCATATCTTAGTTGATCTCGGATTTGGATACTCCCCAACACCAAAGAGGGTTTGTACTCCATTAAGGTTGAATATTACATTATCAAATAATAATAAGAGTAAATCATCATGGATGAGTCCCAACTTGTATCGCAATTTCATGTTTGGTAGAGTACAGAATCCTCTACACTAACTAATAAAATCTTGCTGAATCGATTTCCTATATACGAGCATTACCAAATAACAATACAGCTAAAAATCATAGCCTTTAATATCTTAAATGAAGAAAAATAATATCACAATGACAAAATAAAAAACTGTAAATGAAAATTGATCATGAAAGAGATGGGTAATGCAATTGAAGTAGTAGTAGTATTTCTAATAAGAATAGAGAATTAATACAACACAAGAAAGACTGGGGAACTAAAAGTCCACGTATGAAAAGGAACTAAAACACATCACTCATAGTCAGTCCACCAATATTTATTTAGATACAAAATGGTGACACTTCATTTTTAACTCTCATTTTTCCTTAGATACGGTGGATGCATGTTCTCAGTTGCCACCACTCCCCTCACCATAACCTTCCCCATAGCCTTCACCATAACCAGATCCATTTCCGGATCCGCTTCCCCTGCCAGACCCTTGACCATATCCCTCACCGTGTCCGGATCCAGACCCAGAACCCGAACCACTCCCACTCCCACTCCCACTCCCACGGCCTTGGCCCGATCCACGTCCTTGGTTACTTCCTGATCCTGATCCAGACCCGGCTCTAGACCCAGCATACGAACCCGCTTCAGAGCCTGCTCCAGACCCAGAACTGGAACCCGAACCTGATCCTGACCCAGATCCGGATCCAGACCCTGAGCCACTACCACCGCCTCCTAATCCCAAGCCTACCCCTGCTGCTCCAGCGCCAACTCCCACACCACCAAGATCCACACCCAAGTCTTTCCTTGCAATTCTGGTCCCAGATATAAGAGCAGAAGTAGCAAGGAGCAGAGCTATAACTGCTACTAATTTCACAGCCATTTATAGTGTGATGCTATAGATTAAAGAATTTTCGGACACGAAGATATGAAAATGTAACTGATTTCTGGATAAAAATATAGTATATGATATGAGCTGAGAGGATTGTGATTGTGTTAAGAGACCATTGCATGGAGATTCAGGTATTTATAGTTGTTGACACTGAAGGTGCATGAAACGTCTAGAAAGCAGGAGTGAAGTGGAGGATTAGTGGTATATGCAATATAATCCGTAGTGGAAGTGGTGATTTGGCACTTTTGGGATTTGGGTGGACAAATCTCGTGGCTGAGATAGCTATGCCCTCCGGGAGTATTTGGGCTTCCGCCACGACTCTATGTTACACCGACCCATATGATTTCACTCAGGCTATGATTGGATGTACTAATTGACTGCCCTATGTTAAACAAGCACACACACACATATATATACACATACATATATATATCTTGAATAGTACGTTAGATCAGGTTGACCTTATTGTAAATTTTGTTTTATACCTGCCTATATACAACATTCACATTTTTAGTGATAGTGCTCTGGTCTATGTGCAGCTAAAATATTTGGCACTATACTAGTTCATCTGACTTGTTTTACGACCAATTAACAAAACAGAATGTGCCAGGACAAAGTTTAACCACTACATCTTATTTACGGCCGGGAAGTGTTTTCTTTTTCTTTATAACTATTGGATGCTTCAATTTTACATAAATCAAAGACATCTCCAAAATCTGAGAATCAATCATTCTAGATTTCTCTTTTAACTCTTACCCCTAAATTTTATTTACACTGCCGTTGGAATAGTTTATAGAAATTGATATGCAGAGAGTTCTGTAAAGTTTAAAAATATCTATCATAATTTGGAGGAGTGTTCTAGATAGCATATCCTAATTAACCGTGTAGAAAGGGAAGTGTCTGCCTATATGAAGGGTAAGACTTTCATTTGTAATCATCAAATTTTAAGGGTGAGTGTTGAGCTTATAATTGTGTGATTGTTAGTGTTGTAAAAAAATTCTTAATATTCTAATAAAGTTTCTGAATGTGTATGGATGTGCAAGTCAGAGGAGCGTATTAAACGCTCAAAAACAAAATACTGTAAAGAATGATTAGAATAAAAGGTTTGGTTAGGGCAAGTAAATTTGAACACAAGTAAATTTAAACATGTTCAAATTATTTTTAGACTAAAGGAAAAGTAAAAGTCTGAGTGTTTTGATCTCCAATATGATTTTTAAGTTAATGATATATTTATTTGTCCAAAATGGTGAATGTGAAATTGTGTTTCAAATTATAAGGTTGAAATGAAATAAATGATTGGAAAAATAAATAAAATAAATAAATGTATAAAAAAGTTTATCCAATGAAATCTTGTGAAACAATTAATATGTTTATATGCACTAGTATAATCCCCGTGTTTGTGACAATTTCACCATAATTGTACGCGTGTTTTCGCAGACCATTGAGATTGGCGGATCTCTCTGTCAAGATCTCTGTAATCATCTCTTTCGGCTTGGCTACAGCTCTTTTTGCTTGGAAACTGAAAACTTTGCCTTTCTTCTTCCCTAGATAGGGTGCATGGCCCGTGATGAAGTAACTATTTTGTCAATTTTGGAGTTCTAAAAAGCACAAATGAGAAGAAAGCACACATAATTATTCATACCTCATTAAAGGCCCTAACGATTTTTTTCTATTTTTAAACATTTTTTATTCACAATAATAATAAATTCATACCTCATTAAAGCCCACAATGATTTTTTCTATTTTTAAACATTTTGTATTCACAATAATAATAAATTCATACCTCTCCATTTGTTTCGCATAAAATATTCTTTTTAGAAAATATTTTTCCTTTTCAGGTAAAACATTCTTTTATTTTTACTTTGTCAAATTACTTTGTCAGTATTTGACAAAGGTCTACGTTCAGGTTGAAGTAAAGTACATCTTTCTAGGCATGTAAAATAACTTGTCGATAATTTATGGATAAATTATTTTTGTTAAATTTTAATATTTTTTTTCGTAAATATTTTACTACAACCAAATACCAGAAAATAATAAAATATTTTACGTCCAAACAAATGGAGTCCTTCAAAAAAAAAAATGATAATGATTAATTTTATTTTCTTTTTTTTTTCACAATTATTTTCTCTTTTTTTTCCACATCTAGTAAATATGTAAATCCCTTAATGATTTTCTCTATTTTTAAACATTATATATGTAATATACGTATACACTATTCTAAAAGCTTAAGAAATGTCTTAAAATTTTGATTTTTTTTTAAATACATAAAAAAGTATCATTAAAGCACACAAAATTATTCGTACCCCATTAAAGGCTTTAAAAGCCCCTAATGATTTTTTCTATTTTTAAACCTTTTTTGTTCACAATAATAATAAATTCATACCTCTAATCCACAATATTCTGAAAAAAAAATAATAATAAATAAAAAATAAAAAAATAATTCCCTTCCACTATTTTAAAAGCTACCCATCCTTAAAAAAAAAAAAAATGGTTTAACTAATTTGAAGATGAGTTATACAGTTGCGTTCTTGTTAAAATTTTGTTCTCACCGTCTTTATTTTAATAAGAATCAAAGAAAGCATCATGTCACTCTATTCTAAGTTAGAAATTTTTTTTTTTTTTTTTCATATAACTTCTTCAAACATAAACTAAATTTGTGTAAAATTATGAGAAAACCACTATACTGTAAACCTATGAAACAACATCGAGTTACAAGTTAGAGTAATTATAGAAATGTTAAATTTTCTTAATATTAAAATTTTCAATAATTTTTTTCAAAAATATATTTTCAATAACTCGTGATCAGAAAATATTAGAGTAAAACAAATCAAAATAAAATTGGTGAAAAAAGGTTAAATAGCAAATCGATAGCATACAAGAGATAAGATAAGATAATTTAAGGAAGGCTTATTCCACTTTTTTCCAATTACAATTATATTTACCATTTTTTTTCTTTTAAAGGAAATGACAAAAAGGTCTTTAAATTTATTAATGCACCATCCTTGAATTTATAATATCATAACTACCCTTTATATAACTTTAATTTTTTTTTTTTTACCTTCTTCACTTTATTTACTGTTTTTTTTTCCTTTCTATTTGTTTTTTTCTAGAGGTCTTCTCAAAGAACATAATTTATTCTATACTAATAATTTAATTTTTGATGTCCAAAAGAAATAATTATTTCATAATGACTTTTTTTTTTTTTTTTGGGGTCTTATCAAAAGATATAATTTTTGAATAAAATTTTTATTTCTTGGTCTTGCACAAAAAAAAATTTATTCAATTAATTTTTTGCCTTGTAAAAAAAGACCTAATATTAAAGATAAGATATAATGAGAGGAAATCTAAACACAATTTTGTCATTTAAAAAATAATAATTATTTACTTTAAAAGTTAGAGTTAGAATTGTTATTTCATTCAATAATTATAGTGTAAATGTTAAAAAGTGAAATGCGAATAAGATCTTCCTAATTTAAACATAAAATATGGTGAGATATAGACTAGAAGAAAACTTGTAACTCATTTTGTGATTGGTTGTAGAGTCTCAATTTTTTGGGAATCCCAAAATCAATTTTTGGCTACTCCATGAACACGCATGGACGACAAATTTTGGCTGAATGATGATGTAAAAAATGATTGTATCATGAATATAGATGATCTCTTAATATTAAAATTTTCTATAACTTTTTCCAGAAATTTATTTTTAAAAACTAATGATAAAAAAATATTGGAGTAAAACAAACGAAAATAAAATTGGTGTAAAAGATTGCAAATCAATAGTCCAGCAAGAAGAGATAAGTTAAACATAAAGAGTGATGAGATGTAGACGGAAATAATACCTGTAAATCATGTCGTGATTAGTTGTAGAGCTTAAGCTTTTTTTTTTTGCAATTCCAAAATCAATCTTTGGCTATTCAAAGAAGACATATGTACTACAAATTTTGGATGAATAATAATGTAAAAATTGATTGTATCACGAATGGTAGATGAACTTTTCAAATTCAAACAAAAATAAAAATGTTACTTTTGATATGCTAATTAATACATGCATATTTATTGATTTGATTATATATTAATAATTAAAAGTTAAAGTTACAATTGGTAAACACATAAGATGAATTTTGTAGATGATCTCTTCAAATGAAAATGAAAATGTAACAGTCCTCTCTTGATATAAAATAATAGAAAATGTAAGAAATTCTTGATATACTAAATGAATGCATTCTTATTAAATTATTTACATATTAATAATTAAAAATAAAAAAAAAAGAAAATGTAACTGTCCTCTCATGCTAGATAAATGCATACTTATTAACTTGATTATATATTAATAATTAAAATAAAAATTACAATTGATGAACAAATGAGTGAAACTTGTTTAGAAATAATCAAAAAATATATACACTTTTATAAATAATATATAGATTGAAATTTTTAAGTATGCGTTATGAATATGAACCATCAGCTAATTAGTAATTGTATGTGTTTAATTTAATGAGACTTTTTATAAATGTGAAAAAAAAAACACAAACAACGATTAAACATCTGAATGTTAAGAAATTACAATGAATATTTATTGAAACAGTCTAAAGCGTTAATTTTCACTTTTAAATGTGCAAAAAAAAAAAAAAAAAAGAGGATGGGAGGAGGAGGAATTTTGGAAGGTAAGACAGAGAAACTGTTTCATAGAGATACTGTAGTAGCCAGCATATGTAAGAGTTGAGTTACCATCATATATGACCCAAATTTATGTAATTAAGATAAGCCTTTTATTTTAATTCTTTAAGTATTATATTTGGTATATATAATGATTGAGTGTGCTACACATGCAACAGAGTTCTTTCCCTGCTTACCTGTTATGATTATCAAGAAATTCCAGGCTTTGAATTGCCTTGAAAATATTAAAGTTCTTGATTGCTTGGGAGAAATATATCCATTTAAAAGGAATACAAATATATATACCACCGCTGCGTTTTAAAGTGAAAGGTGAAAATTTGTAGATTTGAGTTTCGAACAAATAAGTATGTGAGTTTCTTGTTAAGAAAAATTACATACTTGAAAAGACATAATTAATTCGAGACCATAACTATTAGATTATATTGTCAAATGCATATATATGTATATATATATATATATATATATATATATATGTATGTGCATTTGATCAAGGAACTTAAGATATATGTATAAGGTGTTCACATCTTGTATTTATTTCCAATAACTCGAATGATCGAGAAACTCAATGTACTTCGTTGGTGTTTTAGCTCAAGCATGGAGACTTGTATTTTTAGATCTTCCACATGAACTCGTCAAAAATATATATACATGAACTCGTCAATAATTCTCCGATTTTCTGATATTAATTGAGGATTTCCTTAGCATTAATACAATTAAAAACGCCTTAATTTTGACTCTGTCTATTCTTAACCTAAGCATATCTTAGTTGATCTCGGATTTGGATACTCTCCAACACCAAAGAGGTTTGTATTCCATAAGGGTGAAGATTACATTATCAAATAATAATAAGAGTAAACGGACGTGAATAAGTCCTACCTTATGTCGCAATCTCATGTTTGGAGTACAAAATCCCCTACAACAAAAAATAGGATCTTGCTAAGTCGATATCATATATACGAGCATTGCCAAATAACAGCACAGCTAAAAATCATAGCCTTTAATATCTTAAATGAAGAAAGATAATATCAAAATGACAAAATAAAAAACCGTAAATGAAAATTGATCATGAAAGAGATGGGAAATGTAATTGTAGTAGTAGTAGTATTTCTAATAAGAATAGAAAATTCATACCACACAAGAAAGACTAGTGAACTAAAAGTCCACATATGAAAGGAACTAAAACACATCACTTGTAGTCAGTCCACCAATATTTATTTTAGATACAAAATGGTGACACTTCTATTTTTAACTCTCATTTTTCCTTTTATATGGTGGGATGCATGTTCTCAGTTGCCACCACTCCCCTCACCATAACCTTCCCCATAGCCTTCACCGTAACCAGATCCATTTCCGGATCCGCTTCCCCTGCCAGACCCTTGACCATATCCCTCACCGCGTCCGGATCCAGACCCAGAACCCGAACCACTCCCACTCCCACTCCCACTCCCACGGCCTTGGCCTGATCCACGTCCTTGGTTACTTCCTGATCCTGATCCTGATCCAGACCCGGATCTAGACCCAGCATATGAACCCGCTTCAGAGCCTGCTCCAGACCCAGAACCCGAACCAGATCCTGATGCGGAACCTGATCCTGACCCAGAGCCAGAACCAGACCCAGATCCGGATCCAGACCCTGAGCCACTACCACTACCTCCTAATCCCAAGCCTACCCCCGTTCCAGCACCAAATCCCACACCACCAAGATCCACACCCAAGTCTTTCCTTGCAATTCTGGTCCCAGATATAAGACCAGAAGTAGCAAGGAGCAGAGCTATAACTGCTACTAATTTCACAGCCATTGATAGTGATGCTATAGATTAAAGAATTTTCGGAAAGGAAGATATGAAAATGTAACTGATTTCTGGATAAAAATATAGTATATGATATGAGCTGAGAGGATTGTGATTGTGTTAGAGACCATTGCATGGAGATTCAGGTATTTATAGTTGTTGATGCTGAAGTTGGTGCATGAAACCTCTAGAAAACAGGAGTGAAGTGGAGGATTAGTGGCATATGCAATATAATCCATAGTGGAAGTGGTGATTTGGCACTTTTGGGATTTGGGTGGACAAATCTTGTGGCTGAGATAGCTATGCCCTCCGGGAGTATTTGGGCTTCCGCCACGACTCTATGTTACACCGACCCATATGATTTCACTCAGGCTATGATTGGATGTACTAATTGACTGCCCTATATTAAACAGGCACACACACATATATATATCTACATACATATATATATCTTGAATAGTACGTTAGATCAGGTTGACCTTATTGTAAATTTTGTTTTATTCCTACATATATACAACATTCACGTACATTTTTTGTGATAGTGCTATGGTCGGTGTGCAGCTAAAATATTTGGCACTATACCAGTTCCATCTGACTTGTTTCACGACCATTTAACAAAGCAGAATGTGCCATGACAAAGTTTAAACCACTACATCTTATTTACGGCCGGAAAGCGTTTTCTTTTTCTTTACAATTCTTGGATGGTTCAATTTTACATAAATCAAGACAACTCCAAAATCTGAGAATCAGTCATTCTAGATTTCTCTTATTTTTTAACTCAGTACCCCTAAATTTTATTACGCTGCCGTTGCCCGTTGGAATAGTTTAGATTGGTAAGTAGAGAGTTCTAGTTTAAAAATATCTATGATAATTTGGAAGAGTGTTCTAGATAGCATATCCTAAGGGCTCGTTTGGGTCGCGATAACGTTTATATGTTATGGTTTGATATGATATGAAAACAACCGTTTTGGTATTGATATGTTTTTAGTAGAAATCAGAATCAAATTTGGTAACGACTATTTTATTTTTTATAATTGTATATCAAAAACATAAAAACGTATTTGGTAATGTTATGCGTTTTAAGGAATCCGAAAACAAAACACGTTTGGGAAGTTAGTTTTGTTGTCAAAAATTCTGAATCAATAACAGGATTCCTGTTTGGTAAAGACTGTTTTATTTTTGTTTTGAATAATTATATATATGAATACAATTATAAGTTTATATGTAATAATCCATTTTTCTTTATGATTTGAGTTAATTTGTTAAAAAAAATATATTCTGCATTAAAGAATTGGGAAAAAAAATTGTGAATAAATTTACATGTATAAATAAGATCATGTGGGATGTTTATGAGGCATAAACATAATTAGTGACAACCAAACTACAAATTTAACTTTGTAACAATTTTTCAATGAGAGGAGATCTTTGCATTCCATTTATCTTTTTCTTTTGGCTTGCACTCCATTTAACTTTATTTTGTTTTATATATATATATATATATATATATATATAAATTCATTATGAATGAGAGAGAGATCCTTGTAGTTGAAACTAACAAGAAGCAAAGTCAAAACGTTGATCTTCTTGAATTGGTCAGAATTGAGGCTTGGTGGACATTGAAGCTTGTGAATGGGTTTACTTTACTAAGATTAGTTTGAAATTTTCAGCTGGAGATCCTTCAAAGTGCTAATATTTTTATTGTTAACTAATGAGACCATTTTCCTTTTTCTTGAATATTTATTTTGATAACCAACTTCTGAATATTTCATACAATCTCCAACCATAACCAGAATTGATAAATAGGAAGAAAGATTAAAAGCAAGCAATCAAAGAAGATCCTTCTCTTATAAGACTTAACAATAAATCACCCCAACAAAAATAAAAAAATAAAAAGAGAGGCATGCCATCAAACAACCTGATAGAAAAATTATTGCCATCCAAACAAGTACTTGAAATTTTTTTGTAAGATTTTAATCAATCATAAATAACACACCTAACCACAAGTTTTTTTTTTGTACATCACAAACTTAATAAATTGTTGTTGCACCATTCACATATATACTTGCATATATAAGGAGCTAGACATTCCTTAAAAATAATACGTGTGCACACACTTCATTATACTTGCATAAAATGTACACACAACTGGAAATCACTAAAATTCATTCCATAAATTGTACACACACTTCTTTATACTTGCATAGGCTTCCATTTGATTAACTTAGAGATTACTAGCTTCCTAGAGTTGCAGTAACTGGAGAATGCTTCCTCTAAATCCCACTGGTGCCACTGCCCACAACTTACTGCCATGTCCTTCATGAATTGTTTTTGTCAATCCTTTTCACATCAAAGTCATTGTAATGATCATGTTTTAACCATGCTGCTCAACAAGGAAAAACTACATATATTTTAGTACCCAAGAGCAGTTTGTAGAAGCACACTGAACATAAACTATATACAATTTACAATACTTATAGTGAACATAAACTAGACACAATTTACACACACATACACTAATTGAATAGGTGCATATTAAATTCATGTTACTAACTGATGCATTTTATATCCCCAAAATATCATCTTTGTCCACCTTTATGCAACAAGATATATATATTCTAACACTACGTGACTTCGAAGTATTACATTGTCGAAGAATTCCCTGACCTCCATTTATGCACAATAATAATAAATTTAAAAAAAAAAAAAAAAAAAATGGCCATTTAAGACAGGTGACCCCTATACACTGCAAAATTGGTCACTTAAAGGCACGTGACCCCCCGAGCATATAATTCAAGTTATTCAACCTATCAAAAGTTTTGCATTCAACACTCAACAAATTGAAACAGAAACTAAATAAAATAATCAGGATTAACAACTCATGGTAACGCAGTTATTATTGAAGTGATTGGGATCCCATTATAACTTAGCACGCACAAACAAATACACACATAGGAAAGGAAAACATCACTTCATTCTATCACATACCCACAATAAAAATCAACTAAAAAACACTAACAAAAATTATAGGGATGTACAAAAGTTTACCTGAGAAACAAACTTTCCAAATAAGATATAATATTCTATCAAAAACAAAGGAAAGGAAAAAAATATGGATTAGATCAATTCGCACTAGGGTTTCACGAACTTCCTACAATAAACAAATATATCAGAAGGAAGCCCAAAAATCTGTTTGAAACAGTTTTTCCCAGCAACACGTACTTCCCTTTGAAAATTCATAAAAAAAAAAAATTCTCAACCAATTTGCATGAAACCAAAGTCCGTTGGAAGCTTAAAGAGTATATTTTTCTTCTATCAATTTAAATTAATAAATTTTCTTACCGATTAAATCAGGTTTGAAGGAAAAGAGAGGAAAAATTCTGCCACAAAACAGTTTTGACAGCATGTTAACATCAACTTCGAAAATCCATAATAATTTCAAAATTCAATCAATTTGAGCCAAACAAAAGCCTATTAACTCATTAACAATTTTACTTTCATATCCAAAATTTAATTTAAAAGATAACAGTTCTAAGTATAGAGATTTCAGTTCTAAAATTAGCATTTTTGGTTTCATTCTCCAACACAACTCTTCATTTAAATTCTAACAATTCTTCAATTAATTTCACTCCATTAACAAGAAAGTCGAAACCTACCATACCTACAATCTATATATGTCATAAAATCGAGTGGTTTGATGATACAACTGTATTAATCCATTTTTTAAAATCGTCAATCGATAAGGAAAAATGAAATTTGAAAAACCATCAAGTCCAACTTTCAAAACGCATCAATCCACCCATAAAGTATCTCTGAAGATTCCTCTAAATAATTAAACAGATATATAATCTATCTTAATTTAGTTGTAATTTGACAGAAATGTAGTCTTTGAAAAAAAAACCAGAAATGTACTCTGAATTCTAAAATCTATATACTACATGCCCCAAACAGAAGGAAAAGAGACGTCACCTCCCCACCCTAACCCCAATTTTGTACTACACATCAAAGCCCAACCCTAATTTCGTAAATACATCAACAAAATTGAAATCCCTAACCTGTTCGTAGGCATCCTCTTCAAAAATTGAACTCCTCTGGCCCAACTCTAACATCAAAATCGCATAGATGAGTCATGCATTCATCAAATGAAAAAAAAAAATCAAGAATCGATTAAACAACAGATTAATACACAAAAAAACATACACACATATATATATAAACATTTTAATCGCTGAAGAGGGTCAGGGAGTGAGAAGAATAAGAATCAAAATTTATGTATCCATTTTACTCGACCGAGTAAGTTTTACGAACAAACAAACAAACACACACATATATATATATACGTGTACAAATACAGAGAGAGATAGATTGGAAACAAACCTAGCAGCAGCTGTCGTCTACAAATCGCCGAACATACCTTCGCATCTCTAATGGAGGATTCCAGACTTCGGGTTTCTTCTTTAGGGGTTAGGGTTTGCTCCGATGGCCAACTGCAAAAGGCTTGATGGAAAGAGGGAAAACATTTTCACAGGTTAGGGCTTCGATCCGACCAGCGAGAAGACAGACAACCGAGAGGCGAAAATGGAAGGAGGTAACTGGAGGAGGAGATCTGCCAGATCGATGGTGGAAGAGTTTGTGTATGGAGTTATCGCTTCTGAAACGCCTCCAAGGAGCTGCGCGAAGAGAGAGAAAGTGAGGCTGAAAAATGGGCCAATTCTGATATGCGAATTTTTTATACTTGATATCACCGCTACAGTAAAAACGAGGGTGATATGTTTTTGGTTTGGGTTGATATCGCCAATATCATATCACCCAATATCACCAATTCTTTGATATGGGTTTTGGCCCAACTCTGATAATGTTTTGACACTATAAAATACCAGCCCACTCCAAACATGATATTGCCTAAAAACCAAAACCAAAACATCAAAACAATATCATATATGGGCTTCCGAAACGGCCCTAAGTGTCTATAAAGAAAAGTGTGTCTATATAAAAGGTTAGACTCTCATTTGTAGTCATCAAGTTCTAAAGGTGAGTGTTGAGTTTATAATTGTGTTATTGTTAGTCTTTTAAAAAAAAATTTAATATTCTAATTCAGTTTGTGAATGTGTATGGATGTGCAAGGCTTAAAAGCGAAGTAATGTGAAGAAGTGTAAGAATAAAGGTTAGGCTAATAAATAAATTAGAGCTTGTTCAAACTAGTTTTAGGTTAAAGTAAATGTAAGTCCACTAACTATTTGTGATATATTTATTTGTTCAAAAATTTGAATGAAAAATTGTGCCCCAATTCCCAAAATTTTAAGTTTGAAATGAAATAAATGAGTGTGCAAGTTATTCGATGAAATCTTCTAAAAAAATTAAAATGTATATATAGAAAGGGTATAAATGAAAATCCACAATCAAGTAGTGTACTGTCCTTTCATATTGGGCTTGACTGTCCAACAAACCTATTGGTTTTGTACTAGGTGTGGGCTTAAAAAAATAGTATTTTTTTTGAAGATTGGGAATGGGCTGAGCCCAAATCAAATCATTTGATTGTAGCTCGCCTATGTTCTTTGTTCTACTTATTTACTTGTTTTTCATAACAAAAATGTTGAGTAAGTGGGAAAGGGGTGTGAAGGGGGTGACTCACAAAAATAACAAGGAGGCTTGGGCATTCGCGTTTATTTTATTGTTTTAATATGCATATTAAATTAAAGATTTTAAATAAGTAAATATATTTTTCAGCAGTCCACTGTCTGACAAGCTTAGTCAGCACATACTATTTTCTTCTTTTACAAATGACAAATAATTTAATATCTACATCGTATGTGATATAATCATTAGGAAATGACTTCTCATCTCGAGTCTATTTTCTCATCTCTTTTATATAATTTCTGGTATTGTAGTAACTTTCTTGATTTCTCACTCTAATTGCTCTTAATTTAGGTTCTGTTTGTTTAGATATAAAATATTTTTTTAAAATAATATATATTTTTTTGGTGTTTGATTGTTATAAATTATTTACAAAGAAAAAAAATATTAAAATCTAACAAAATAACTAACTTGTCAATTTTTGGTACTTTATTTTACATGCTCCACCCGATAGACTCGACCTCAATTTCAATTTAGGCCATTGTCAAATAAAAAAAAAAAAAAAAAAAAAAAAAAAAAAGAAGCTTACTCAAGAATCCTATTATTGATTGAATTGGAGATAGTATCTGGCAGGGACAGACCATACCATTAAGTGAGGGTCAATAATGTTATTTTTTTTTAATAGTTTCAAAGTAGCAATAATAATATTTTAAGGGTATATAACTAAAAATAAATAAATAATTAGTAAGGTATATTAGGAAAAAAAAAATTTCAAAGCCCTAATCTATATGTAGGTCCGTCCTGTCATTTGGTTCACATGAATTATGAAAAGAGACTCAACGTCATAAGAAAGACCTTAACCTTATAAATTCAATATTAACATTGAAAATTGATACTTAGGCGCATATAATTTTTGCCTAAGTAGCACGTTCTTAATATATAGATTAAGTAAATAGTACATGCACACAGGCACGAACGGAGTTAGAATTTTGGTTCAGTTATATATTAACATGTGATAAAATAAAATTTTCAATAAAAAAATATATGTTATGAGAGAACTTTGAAGGAAAAAAAAATTAAAGTAACATTGAAAAAAGAAAATGAAGCAAGGGAATAAGATGGAAAAAAATTAGAGAGATTTTTTATTAAAGAGAAACAATTTTAATGAGGGTATTTTAGAGTATTTCATCAATTACATACATAAAAAGTAAGAAATTTTAATAGGCCAACATGGGTCGGGGCAAGTGCCCTCGGGCCCCTGTTGGCTCTGTCGACCATGCACACACAAAACATTATTGCATATAACGCTTGGATTATTCACTAGCTCATGCTATCGAGCAACTGACGTGGGGACTTAAATAACCAATGTATTTCAGTATATAATAGTTATCGCAATAAGCACAATATTGGACAAAGCCATGAAGAGCCGCCCTAACTTTCTCTCCCACCTCTCTCTACCTTTCTCTCTCTAACCCCTTCGTCTTCTTCATCACTCTGCCTCCGTACTCGCTTCAATGGGAGTGGGTGTCTTTTTATGCCCTTTTTGTTTTTCTTCGGCTAGATCTGTTCATGTTCGGTTCGTTTTCGGATCACATAGGCGGATCTGTTGTTTCCTCCGATTAGATCTTTGATCTAGGTCGGTTTTGGTTTTCCCTACCTCGATTTAATCTTTTCCCCCTTGATTTGATCTTGTGCGGGGTTTGTTGTGTGTCAGAGCGCCTTGTGGTTGTAACTTTAGAGTGGTTGCCGTGCTGATGGCCAGCCCTTTCGGTCTCTCCAGTTTGTTGCGTTCTCCCATGGTGGTTTCATTTGCAGAGTGTTGGGCTCTGTTTCCTTCATAAATCTGGAGTCTGTTCTTCATTTATTTGCTTTGCTTCAAGATTTGTATGTCTTTTCTGGCTTGACTTTATGTCTGTACGGCCATCTTGGCTTTTGGACTTTGAACCTTTGAATGATAAAAAAATAAAAAATAAAAAAAATAAGCACAATATTAATAAGTCAACTAATGAGTAAATAATATGAGAAATAACAACTAATTGACTCAATTCGTGTGTTACGTTTTACATCATTTGAAAGCAGAAGTTTTCAACATTTATATGTGTCGTAACTATATATATATAGATGTGTGTGCATTTTAAAAATCGTGTATACACGGTCTCTACATTATGTGGGGCGGGTCCTAACAATCTATAAATTATAATATAATAATTTTCTCTTGCTTTATGCCAGTACTTTTTGGTGTATAAGGATCTTTAGAAGAAAAAAGATAGTTTGACCACCAGCGACCCCTATGTATTAGTGATATTTTCTCTACTTACATAACAAAAAGGTAGAGTGTTTGAAAGTTTAAGGGATTAGCTTAAATAGGTAAGTCATTTGATTTTGGTATTTTAAAAAATCTCAGTATTTGATTGGGAATGGTCTTTCTACTCGTATTTGGGATGATCATTGGGTTCTTACGCTTTCTCAGAAGAATCCACCTCTGGCACATGGTGTTCCATTTTTCTGGGTGGCTGATTTAATTGATTCTACTACCCGTACTTGGAAGGAGAATGTCTTGCATCTTTTGTTTTCTCTTCTTGTGGTTCGAGAAATTATGAAATTGCATATTAGTCGTTGGGATAAACCAGATGTTCCAATCTGGGGACATGACAAGTTTGGTTTGTTTTCTGTTCGTTCAGCTTCTCAGCTTGCTCTATCGATGACTAATTTTTTAGGTGTTCAGGTGTCTAATGGTTCATGGAGTTCTATATGACGTTGTCAGACTTTATCTAAGGTGTAACATTTCCTTTAGCGATGCTGTCATCAAGCACTGCCCACTGCGGTATCCTTGAAGGCGAGGGGTTGTGGTGTGTCATCGTTGTGTCCTCGTTGTGGTAGTACGGAGGAGACTATGATGCATCTGTTATTCATGTGCCCTCATTGTTTACAGGTTTGGAAGCTGTTACCTTTCCATTTTGATTTTTCTGATTCTAATATTTCTTCTTTTTGGGAAGGTTGGTCTTTTTTTGTTCAGGTAGCTGCAAATTCGTCTGATTCGGCGGGGGTTCTTAGTTTGATTTCTTTCTGTGCTTGGGGTATTTGGAAGGCGAGGAATAATTTTGTGTTTGAAGGGGTGCTATGGGGGCTGACTTGGTTGTCGAGCGTGCGGTAGCAAGTTTTTGGGAATTTCATGACGCCAAGTCTTATTGTTCTGCTTTTCATTTAGCTTCATCCATTCAGTTGGTGGGTTCTTGGATTGCGCCTCTGGTTGGACAGGTCAAATGTAATTTCGATGCTTTCTTTTCTAGGAGTATGCCATTGGGAGGGGGTGGGGCAGTTTTTCATGATTTCTGCGGCATGGTTCTTCAGGCGGTTGTTTTCCCACAGTTTCCTGCCTCTTCGGCTCTGGCTGCTGAGTCTCTTGTTTGTCAGCATGCAGTGTTTTGGGCTTCGGAGTTGGGTTTTTCTTGTGTTTGGCTTGAATCTGATACTAAGGCTGTTGTTGAAGGGGTGCTGAATGATGACACTGTGGCACCATCTGAAATTGCTTCATCTGTTATGATATTCGGAGGGACTTACAGCTGTTTCAGTCAGTGTATTTGTCTCATGTTCGTCGTTCTGGCAACGGGGTTGCTCATGCTTTGGCTCAGCTATTTTCCTCTTTTCCCCAGGTGGATCACCTTTTATCGTCGATTCCTTCTTCAATTTAGCAGCTTGCACAGGAGGATGTTGGGGGTTAGTTGTGTGGTGTTTAGTTTGCTTTTGTTTTGGGGCCTTTTAGCTCCGTTGTCAAGAAAGAAGAAAAAAAATCTCAGGTCTAAGATTTGATTTTTCTTGACGGTGGATCAGTTTTCAGTCATTCATTAAATAATAAATCACTATAAGTGATGAAGATACACGATTTAAATAACGAAAAATGCAATATTTTAAAATTGTATATAGAATGACTATAAAAGTAGAAATAATACCAGAGATATTTGATGATTATGAATAAATCTAGAATATTTATAGACAGAGCCAATCATTAGTTCCAAACCATGGTAGTTTTTATTGTGTTGCTTAAGTTTTAGTGTTTATAGGGATGATAAAATACCCTATCCGTTTAGAATGATTATGGGAGTGATTAAATGATTTTGGGATGGGAATGGAATTATGATTGAAAACCCACA